GTGCGCAGGGTCGTCGCGCCGTGCGGAGTGGGAGCCGGTGGGCGGGGGCTGTGCTGACACGCCCTCGCCAGGAGGACCGTCTCGTGCCATGAGAGCACGAATGGGCCGCCATCGCCAGGACCCGTATGGGAACGGGGCCCGGTGAATGGAGGCCACCCCTCGCATGGCATACGGCGGGGAGGGATGCACAGCCACCGTGTCGCCTTTCGGGTCCTTTTCTTCACCCCCCATGTGGGCCACCCCCCAGTAATTATGCGGGATGACGATTAATTAAAAAATGAGAGAGATCGATTCAAAAAATAGTTTTCTGCTATTTCTGCACCATTTTCTGAAGAGAACGATTAAAACATAGTTTTCCAGCCCGCGGCCGGTCTTTTCTAATCGTCATCCCGGGCGCCGCCGCGTGAACACGACCCCCGGTCATTTATTAATCGCCATCCTCCAGTAGCACCCGCCCGAGCCTCATCGCCCCAACTCTCGCCCCAGTGCCCTCCGGTGGCGCCCCGTTGCACGACTGGGCAACACGCGCGCGGGCAAGGGCGTTCATGGGGGGAAAACAGACCTACCTCGTTTTTGACCACCCTCGCTTCCAAGAGATACCAAGCGATGCCAACTGGTCAGGCCGCTTGACGAGGAGGCGCGTGGTATGACTGGGTTTTGCCTGGAAGCGAAAGCGGGGTAGGTAATTCACGCTCTGAAGCCCGCGCGCGGGCAAGGGCCTTCAGGCGTGACGGAGCCGCGATGGCGGCAGCGCGCCGCGTCGTGCACGGCGGAGGGAGCGGCTGCGCCACGTCGGCGACAAGGCCTCGCTCTCCGCGCGCGGCGGCGCCGCGCTGCGCGACGGCAGCGGCCTCCCAGAAATATGTCGGGCGTGTCCCCCTACAGGGGGATGTTCGACGAAAAATAAAAATACCCCCTAGATACCCCAAAGAGAATAGAACATATTCAAAACAATAGCAGCCATATTCTTTTGGGACCATGTTTCGACCATGTTTGAAGTATGTTTTATTTTTCGTCGAAAATCCCCCTGTATGGGGGACAGGCCCGACTTAATCCCAGAACGATCGTGTCAGGTCGGGCTTGTGCTCCTGCAGGCGGATCTTGGAAGAAACATGAGAACCTGTCCCAAAACATTCAAATAAGATCACACAAAAATTAAACAAATCGTCCCCAGACGAGGTGTCAATTATTCTTTGAACATCCTCCTGTAACTGGAGGGGCGTGCCCGACTTGACGCTCGGGATGGGGGATTGGGGCAGCGGTGTCGGCTGCGCCGCATTGGCAGGCGTCTCAATTGCGCGACGTCCACGTTCGCGAGAGAGGAGCTGGAGCTTGCCATCGCTCGGGCGTCCATTTCCCATGCATGTTTATGTATCGCGCGTTTTTTGGGTTGAGTGGTACAGGATGCTCCTCCGTAGTCCTCGCCAAAAAAAATCACACGTCCGAGCAATGCCACGGGAGGGGACGGGCCCACCGCCCCCCCACCCAGAAGCAGATTGGAGCAGCGCTCTTGCGCAGCCGTGGCCTCTCTCTCGCCCAAGAGTGCCGGGGGAGCCTGGGGACCGCTCGGGGGTGACCCGGGAGCGCCAGGGAACGTCTGGGGACACCTGGCAGCACTTGGGAGCGTGGCTGCGCTCGAGAACGCCAGGGGGCCGATATGGAAGCAGGCCAGGAGCGCCCAGGAGCGCCTCAGGGCGCCCCGGAACGCTGAAGGCACAGGGGGACGCCCAGGAGGCACATCTGAGCCCCAGGGGAGAATCGGAAGCGCTGGGGAATGTCCCGGAGCATCTGGCAGCGCTGGGGGGCGTGGCTGCGCTCAGGGAGGTGGCCGACGTGCCCGGCCCGCAATCCGGCTGGCGCTCCGCTGGAAGCTCCGACCAACAGCCGCTGGCGCCTGACGTCCTTCGGAAGCGGCGCTCGCTCCGGAGAGGGACGGGGAGGAGGGGCAGGGAGGAGGCACTGCTGCCCGGAGTCCTGGAGCCGCCTGCGTCGCAAGCGACTCCTGCGGCCGTCTCGCCGTTCTTTTCTCCTCTTCTCCATGCCTGGCGGCTCTCTTCGCTCCACTGCATGCCTGTTCCGCTTGCTACCTATCGCCAGCGCAGTGACTCTGCCCAGCCGCCGACGCAAACGGTGTCGCGAGGGAGCTTGAAGTCGGGCCTGTCCCCCTGCGGGGGGATTGTTGGAACGAAAAAATAGAAATGCCAAAAAAATACTCCCAAATTGCCAAAAATACTCGACAAATAATACCCATATGATGTTTTAAACTATGTTTGGTTATTCCTCCTGCACAGGGACTGGCCCGATTTAGAGCGAGCTCTCTCGGCTCGCAGCCGCCCCGCAGGGCTGGTGGCCGCCCGCCGGCCCGCGGGCGGAGCACGGCGCACCCCGCGAGGCCGCGCCCCGCGGGTCCCAGGCCGCATGCCGGCGACGAGCAGGCGCTGGCGGCAGCCCAGCGCGGCGCCCCCGAGGGGAGGAGGGGGACGGGCGCAGGGAGGAGCTCGCAGAGGAGGAGGAGGAGGAGGAGGAGGAGGAGGACCTTTTGGACCTTTTGGCCAAGCACAGAACGTGCGCGGGGGAGGGGAGGAGAAACGTCCAACGTGCTCCGGAAACGCCTCTCCGGAGCGCGTTGGCAGGGGGACGGGGAGGGCCAGGCGCGCCACGCGAGCGCCTGCGCGGCCAGCACTCAAGAGAGACGGATCTCCCCGAAGCGGGCCGCGTGCTCGGCTCTCCAAGCCGAGCGCGCTGGGGAAACTGCGGACCCCCGCCGTCTGAAGTAGTCCGACCTCCCGCCGAAGTCGCCCACGCTAGGGAATAGCGGGCCCCCGCCGCCAGAGGACCCCGAGTACTACATGTGCACCGCGTACACACTCAAGAACTGGAGCCCCCGATCTTCTTGAAGCCCTCCTCGGTGAGGTCCACGCCGAGACGCTCGCACACCTGCACCCACTTGAAGGCCTCCTTGGATATCACCTTCTCGAACTCCTCGCCCTCGCCATGCGTGGCGAGCATGTCGAGGAGGTCCTTCAGGATCGCCAGAGCCCTCTGCACCCTGACGTCCTTTTTCTCGCTGCCGCTCTTGAAGCCCACGGCCGAGTCCTGCTTCGTGCCCTCCGCCACGCTGCCGCTGCCGACCTCGGGGGGCAAACCCAAGCCCTTTTCCTTCTTAACCTTATTCTCCTTCTTGCCGATGCCGTTATTGAAGTCGTCGTTCTCCGCCAACTTCGGAAAGCCGTTGACCCAGATCACCTCGTCCTCGCTCGGCGACGGGAGCAGCGCGGCGCCCTTGCCGTTGATGACCCCGATCACCTCGTCGGAGCTGAGCCGCGCGAGCGCGCGCCGCTCTGCACTGACCCTTTCCGTCTTGTCGAACATCTCCTGGTTCATCTTGCGCACGATGCTGAAGGCGTCCTCCTCCTCTGGATCCTCCTCAAGGTGCCAGCGATGCCAGCCATCCAAGTTCTCGCACTCGCCGCCCTTGTGGAAGTCCTGGTCGTCGTCGCCGCCGTGGATCGCGAAGACACCACAACCTCCAGGTACAGCAGGGGTTGGGAGCCCCACGTCCACACCCTTGCCGCTGATCTTCTTGATGCCGTTCTTGAAATCGTCGTCGTCGTCCTCCGCCAACTTCGGAAAGCTCGGCACTGGGGGAAGCACGTCGCCCTTGCCGTTGACCCCTGATAACCTCGTTCTTCAGTCCACGGCCCTCGGAGAACTGGAGCGAGAGCGGCTCCTCCGCTTGCGCTCGCTCTTCTTGCCCTCATTCTTTCCGTGCTTCATCTTCTTCTCCTTCTTCTCCTTCCCCTTCTTCTCCGCCTGGAACGACCTGAACAAGGTCGGCCCCGCACCCTGCCACGTGGTCGGCGGCGTTGAAGCAGGCCTCGTCCTCGACGTTGACCGAGACCTGGGGCGTGAGATGGTCCACGTGCCGCATCGCGCGGTCCCGCTCCTCCTGCTCCTTGTCCACCTTGTCCTTCCTGCCCAGCTGGTCCTCCAGGGCTAACGGCGGGTCGCCACCTCGACCAGGGTTCCGCGCCCGCAAGTCCCCCGGCGGCGGCATCAATGGCCTCGGGGCGTCGCCAGCCAGCACTGGCGCCACCGAGGGCCGAGGTCGCTCTTGCGGCCTTACCTGCACTGGCGACTGCTGCAAGAGCGCCGTGGCCGTGGCGCTGACCGCGGCCTCCACTGCAGCACGGACCATCTCCGTCGCCTCGGCCGCGGCGCGGCGTGGAGGGGTCGTCGGCCGCCTGGGCGGCGGCGCCGCGCGCTGCCTCCAAGGCGCGGCGCTCCGCCATGACATGCGGCCGCGGCGCTTGGCTCGGAGGTGCAATGCCCAATGCCCCTTTCAAATATGCACCCCCAACCTCCCGAGAGGAAAAGGGGCTTGAGCCAAAATGGCTACTGTGGGAGGAGGAGGAGGAGGAGGAGGAGGAGGAGGAGGAGGAGGAGGGGGAGTAGGCCAGAGGAGGAGGAGGAGGAGGAGGAGGAGGCCAGAGGAGGAGGAGGAGGAGGAGGAGGAGCGCTGAGGGTAGGTGGTGAGGCAGGGGAGCGAGGCAAAATCGCGATGCGGGCACAACGAGGTGAGAGCTGAGAGCACATGGGCAGGCCGAAGGTGAGCCTGAGAGGATGCCGAACGTGGCGACGCATGCAAGACGATGATGATGAGGATGATGATGATGCTGATGATGATGACGACGGTGATGATGATGATGATGATGATGATGATGATGATGATGATGATGATGATGATGATGATGATGATGACGAGGAGGAGGAGGCTGATGAGGATGATGCGGATGATGAGGATGATGACGATGATGATGATGATGATGATGATGATGATGATGATGATGATGATGATGATAATGATAATGATAATGATAATGATGATGATGCTGATGATGATGATGATGATGATGTGATGATGATGATGATGATGATGATGATGATGAGGAGGAGGAGGAGGAGGAGGAGGAGGGGGAGGACGAGGAGGGGGAGAGTGGTCAGGGCAAATCAGAACGGCATACTTTTTTCTGCGCGGTGCTGCTCTTATCTGGAAGACATCCGGATTGCCGAAATGGAGCCAGAGAACGCGCTCCCCACGTTTGAGGCTGCAGCTGGCGTGTAATGCAACCCGAGAGTTTTCGCGACGGCGCTTCTTCGCAACAAGCTCCCCGAAGACAGTGAGGTGAGCAAGCTCTGGCTCGTCCGCTTGTCACGATGGCTCGTGCAGAGTAGAATGGTGAGGACTCCCGCGCGGCTCCACTGCCCCCCCACGTCTCCTCCCTCATCCCTCCCTCCTCCCTCCCTCCCTCCCTCCCTCCTCCCTCCGTCCTCCCTCCCTCCTCCCTCATCCCTCATCCCTCCCTCCTCCCCCCCGTCTCCTCCCTCATCTCTCCCTCCTCCCCAAAGCCTGCCGGCGCCCTTGCCCCCGTCCCAGGCTGGGCGGCGGCCAGGCCGTTGCCCCGTCGGATACCCCACGACGACGGGAGGGCTCGTAGAGGACGTGCCCGTGTTCTCCTGCCGGGGGAGGAGGAGGAGGAGGAGGAGGAGGAGGAGGAGGAGGAGGAGGAGGAGGAGGAGGAGGAGGAGGAGGAGGAGGCGGAGGAGGAGGAGGAGGAGGAGGAGGAGGAGGATTGGGAATCGAAAACTGGTCAGGTCAGCGCTCCTGCCCCTCCTCTCCCCCCTTCCTTCCTCGCCCCTCTCGAGGGAGGAGGGGGGAGAAAGAGAGGAAGGAGCGCTGACCTGACCAGTTTTCCCTTCCCGAGAGGAGGAGGAAGAGGAGAAGGAGGAGGAGGCGGCGAGGAGGAGGAGGAGAGGAAGAGGAGGAAGAGGAGGAGGAGGCGGGGCGGGGGTCCTCTCTGCACTTGCCGTGCCCGCCTCCACGGCACCCATGTCGCCTGCCTGCCGTCCTCTGCCTGCGCCGGCCCAGCCTGCCCGGCCCGGCCCGCCAGGGGTCCCTGAAAACTGGCAGGTCGCAGCGGTGGCGATCGCGCCTCTCTGCGAGGCGGAGACTTATCCATAACCACCGCCTGGGAACCGACGTCCTGGTGCCCCAGCGGGCGGTGATATGGACATATTTCGGCCCCCGGGGGCCCGAATGTGTCCATATCCACCGCCCGCCGAGGCTCCGAAAGCTGACGCTCCAGGCAGTGGTCATGTAGACATTCCCGCCTCGGAATCTCGCGTCCGCAGTCTCAGCGGGGGGGGGGCGCTGCCAGGCGAGCTGCACACAGACGGGCGGGAGGCAGACGGGGGGCGTCCGCGGCGCACATCGGACCGTGAAGGGCTCTGCACGCGCCCCCCGAAAAGCACGTTGTGATCGCCCTCCCGTCGCAGCACCGCGCACGGGGGGGAGCTCCGCCCAGGGGGGCGCCCTCGATCGCGGAGGAGTGCACCGTGAAGCCCTCGATGGCGAACTGCCTTGGCGAACGGCCCAACCGTACACATGCAGGCCTGAGCATCGCAGGGCGAAATGGAGGGAGGAGGGGGAGCCAGCTCTCTATGGGGTCACGAAGCGCGTGAGGGGTGCGCCGAAATGAGCGCTGTGCCGCCATGCGAACTTTCCCACCAAGGCATTCGGTGGAGCTCCCTACGGGGCAACGAAACGCGTAAGGCGTGTGTCGAAACGAGCGCGGTGCCGCCATGCCAACGCGGCCGCTGGGGCCTTCGGTGGAGCTCCCTATGAGCTCACGAAAGGTGTGATGGTTGTGCCGAATTGAATGCGGTGCCGCCATGCAAACTTTCACACCAATGCCTTCGGTCGAGCTCCCTAACCGGCAACGAGGAGCGTGAGGAAAGTGCCGAAACGAATGCGGTCAACCCCATGCGAACTTTCCCGGCGGGGCTCTCGGGGGAGCTGCCTGTGGCCCACGGGGCCACGAAAGGAGTGCGGCGTGTGCCAAATGGGGCACGGTGCCGCCATGCGAGCGCAGCCACTGCGGCCTTCGGTGGAGCTCCCTATGAGCTCACGAAACGTGTGAGGGAGGTGCCGAAAGGAGCGCGGTGCCACCGTGCCACTTCTCCCGCGGGGGCCTTCGGTGAAGCTCCCTATGGGGCCGCGATCCTCGTGAGAGGTGCGCCGAAGCGAGGAGGGCAGAGGCAGGAGAGGAGGGGACGAGCGGGAGGAGGGCCCCCATGACTCCTCTGCGACCGCGACGGCGCCCGCAGCATGATCAGCAGGGGCTCAAGGGAGGGCGGGCGGCGCACGCTCTCCTCCCGTGTGGAGCGGGGCGGCGCACCTCAAGGGGCCCGAGGACACACAAATAGATACACACAAAGAAAAGGATTCCCCCAATTTTCATATATAGTTTCTTGGGTTCTGTCTTCCCCCCCCACTTCCCATAGTTTCCCAGCTGTTCCTGGGAGGGGACGATTACTTTTGTCGGTGTGTTTTTTCCCCTCCTGAGCATCCACGGCGAAGACCCAACGCCGCAGGACGGACGGGAAACCGCATGCCCGAAGCCTGCCCTTCGGTGACGAGGCAGTGCACCGCCGCGCCGCCCCATCCCGTCGCGCCGCCTGCGGCTGCTCCTCGCCGCCCTGCCCCCCCCCCTTGCCGGGCCCTTCGAGGGGAGAGCGGAGGGAGGCAGGGAGACCCGCGGGATCCCCGAGAACAGCTGGGAGCAGCACTCCAGCGCGGAGCTGCAGCGAGGAGGGCAAAAGGACGGGAGGGAGGGTGCGGAGCGGGCGGGGCGGCCAGGGCGACAGTGAAGGATGGAAAGGGATGGACGGGGGGCGAGGGGAGGGGGTGGGGCGAGGGAGGGGAGGGGGGGGAGGGGCGAAGCACGAATGCGCCAGGAGAGGAGGGAGCACGGCAAAATCGTCTTGGGCTGGATAGGGCGTGTGCCCGGAGCCGGTGCCCCATGTTGCCGCTGCTGCGCTTACAGCGACGGTGGCCAGTGGCCGCCTCATCCCGGTTGGTATTTGATAACATGCGCAAGGACGTGTCATTGGTTTCGGGCTCCTGCCGGTGGAGGACGTCATGGTGCCACGGAGGACTGCTCGCCTGCACCGCCCGTGATCGTGAACTCGCGCGCCTATGGCGAAGACGTTGATGAAGAGTGTGCTGGCCAGCGCGGCTTCCCCGAATCATAACTGCTTGCAATTGCGAGTACTGAGTTGTGGTTACCGGCTTCGGTGGAGCTTCCTAAGGAGGCAACGATCCTCGTGATACGTGTGCCGAGATGGGGGCGGCGCCGCCGTGCGAAGGCAGCCACTGGGGCCTTCGGTGGAACTCCCCATGGGGCCACGATCCTCGCGAGTGGTGTGCCGAAATGGGTGCGGTGCCGCCATGCGAACTTTACCACTGGGGCCTTCGGTGGAGCTCCTTATGGGGCCACGATCCTCGTGAGAGGTGTGCCGAAACAAGTGCGGTGCCGCCATGCGAACGAGGCCGCCTCGTGAAGAGTGCGCCGAAATGGGGGCGGCACCGCCGTGCGAACGAACGCAGCCACTGGGGCCTTCGGTGAAGCCACGATCCTCGTGAAGGGGTGTGCCGCACCGTGCCCGAGAGAGGACGGCGGCTGCAGGCGAAGCCATGGCCCGGACGCCGCCAACCGTAGCGACTGCGAGAACAGGCCGCTGCAGGAGGCAAAGGCGGAAACGGACCAGGAAGGGCTCAATGTACACACCACGTGCTCGTCTGGACGGCCAGGGAGCTGCGTGTACAGGCCCTGAGATCCGGACGTCTGGCCAGGTCTCGTGCCCTGGGGCTCTCGGGGCCCTCACAGATCGAGGCGCCTCGAGAGATGCCGCAGGAAGATCGGGTCTAGACCTCTGGCCTCGCGACTTCACACGAGGCTGCAAAGTTTGCGCGACCTCGGATCTCAGGGGGCGTCCCAGCTGCCCAACCTGTGGGACGCTGGAGCGTCTATGCACCGAAGTCCTTCGCCGAGTGCTCTGGGTCCTTGGCCGACCTGACGACGCGGTGTATGATACGTCGAGCCTCTCCGACGGACGCACAAACCACGGGGCCGCTAGTGGGGGCCGCGTCGGAAGTCTGAGCGCAACGTGACTTCCGCATCCACGACTGCGAGACGCTGGAGGAGGCATTGTCGAACACAGACACCACCAGCCACAACGAGTACGGGACCACAGGGGGGAAGCGAAGTCGCAGGTAGTCTTCCATCCATCCACAGAGCGGGTGACGAGGGGCCACGGGTTAAGGCAAAGATAGGAGCAGACCTCATCAACTATATACTGCCGACGCGGCAGCAGATGGAGGCGAACGAAGGTGCCGCACGACATCACCAAATTACGCGTATGCGCAAGAGGGCAATGGGTTGAAGCCTGCAAGAGCCAGTCAGCATCAACTGCCAGAGTGCGAGGAGCTAGCCTCAGGCGAAATGGGAGCCAGACCCCAGCCACAGGCCGTGCGAGAAGGGGCCGAAAGCTGAAGCGAACACCGTCACCAGCAGGTGCGAGAAGAGCAGCCGCAAGCAGTGCTGTGCATTACCGGTACGGTGCAAGGCTAATCGTTGGGCAGAGTAGTCGGTGGTTCGTCGGAGGCAGACGGTGGGCGCACGGATGCCAGTGGCCCGTCCGCGCTGAAGAAAGGGGGAGGCGCCTGGCTACACGTCGTAAGCTGCATGCGAGAAAGGTGTAAAGTCGGACCTAGGCCAGAATAACGTGGGACCCTCCGTCGGCCAAAACAAACAGAGCATCCAAGGGTACCCTCCCCAGGATGCACAAGAGCACCCAACAACACGCGAAGAGCACTGGGGCACCCTGCCCCAAAACGACCTCGATCCTGTACCTCGGCCCGACCGTGAGGCGAAGCCGGGACGAGGACACCAAAGTTCCTCACCGTACACCAATCCTGCGACCAAGGCGGGCCTGGCCGATGCCCCCCCCCTCACGATCCACCTTTGCCCTCAGCGGCCAAGACCCGGCCGTCTCTGGCGGCCGCTCGCCACGATCCGAGCACCCCTCGACCCTGCACCTCGGTCCGGCTGCACAGAGGCCACTCACCGCGTCAGGGCTGGACCTAAACGGTGGTTTAGTGACTTCGTGGGCCGTTTTCGTTTCGACTTCGTTCTGCGGTAGAGGTGCATTGAAGACGAAAGCAAAACGAAAACGAAAACGAAAACGAAAGCAAAACGAAAACGAAAACCAGGGAAAACGAAAGCAAAACGAAAACGATAAAACACCGTTCAGGCTCCGCCCTGCGCCGCGTGCGTGCCTGGGGCGGTCCGGGACTCTGTTCCTTCGCGTGGCGCGCCGGGGGCCCCCCTGCGGCGCGCTGCGCCAGGCAGGCCGGCGGCGCGGCTCCCGCTCCGCGCCGCGGGGGGCAGGCGCGGGGGGGGGGGGGGGCCCGCGGCGTGGGCGGCGCGCCGCGCCGACCACGCGCGGCTGGGCGGAGGCAGGAGGAGGAGGAGAGGGAGGAGGAGGAGGAGGAGGAGGAGGAGGAGGAGGGGAGGAGGAGGAGAGGAAGGAGGAGGAGGAGGAGGAGGAGGAGGAGGAGGAGGAGGAGGAGGAGCGACCTGCGGAGCTCAAGTGGGCCCTGCACCGCGGGCGGCGGCAGCAGCTGGGCCTGTCGGGGGCGTCTGGCGCTGCTCGGGGGCCTCTCCGGCCGTCTCGGGGCCTTCCTGGCACGTGCGACTCCGTCGGGGGCCGTCCTGGGGGGCCTCCCCAGGCTGACGTGAAGGCCTCTTGGGCAGCCGCGGGGGGGGGAGAGCCAGGCGCCAGCACTGGCCCACGAGCGCGAGAGAGCGCGCGGTAGAGGGGCCCCTCGCGCTCTCCACGAGGGGGGGGCGCGGCGGGGCGCCCCGAGCAGAGAGAGGGCGCGCACAGGGAGCCCGCGCCGGCGCTTCGGGGCAGCTTCTCGAGTCTGCCCTCTTCCCTCTCCTCCTCCTCCAGCCCCTCCTTCTCCTCCCACCAGCTCCTCCACCCCATCCTCTCTCCTCCTCCTCTCCTCCTCCTCCTCCTCCTCCTCCTCCTCTCCTCCTCCTCCTCCTCCTCCTCCTCCTCCTCCTCCTCCTCCTCCTCCTCCTCCTCCTCCTCCTCCTCCTCCTCCTCCTCCTCCTCCTCCTCCTCCCCGTCCTCCTCCTCCTCCTCCTCCTCCTCCTCCTCCTCCTCCTCCCCAGGAGGGAAACTCTGTCCATGTCGCCCCCCAGCAGGTGAGGAGCCATGCATTGCTAAGTGCAGTGGGACGCGTCGCTGACGACGCATCCGATCGCTGGACTGGCTGCCCTGCCGAGTCGCTTCATATGTTCCGACGTTGAGGCTAGGGCTATGTCTCTAGAGTGTCCTGCCTACCTACATGCAGACCTACATACCTACCGACCTACCCACCCACCGACACACCCACCCACCAACCCACCCACCCACCTACCTACCTCCATGCATACATATATAAATACAGACATACAGCCGTACATACATACAGACATACAGAATTATCTGTGTGCATGCATACATGCGTACATGCATTCATGCATGCATGCATGCATACATACAAATAAGTAGATACACGTTCACGCATACATGCAAACATACATGCATACATCTGTAGATATATACAAATACATCCATACACATACGCATACACACATACATACATGCTGTCATGCATACATGCGTACACACACTGATGCATGGATACATACATTCACGCATGCACACATACGAGCATATACATATACGACCACCCTGCGGGTGATAAGGAGGTTGGGGGGGAGGGGCCCAGCAATGGGCAACAGTGGTGATTGTAGTTCTGACGATGCCAGTGGAGATTGTTGCGTTGCCGCTCGCTCTTGGGAACTTTGGTGTCGAGTTGTTTACGTCACCCTTCGCTATTGGGCGCCTTGGTACCCTCATTATCGATCTCACAATCGGTATCACTATCGATCTCACTATCGATCTCACAATCGATCTCACTATCGATCTCACTATCGATCTCACTATCGATCCCACGATTGATCTCACTATCGATCTCACGACGGGACACCGACGGGACACCGCAGGACACCGACGGGACACCGACGGGACACCAGCGGGACACCGCGCGGCCCCGAACGCCGGGTCGCCAAACATTTAGTCCGGCCGCGCCTCAGCCACAGGAGACTTTCCTCTCGCCCGCCCACGCAGCTTCGCCTCGCCCGCACGCACGGCACGCACGAACACGAAACCGAAATCGATGTCCCGGTAGGGGGTCTCTCCGTTCCACTTCGATCTCACCCCCCAACCTCCGATATAAACACATACATACATACATACATACATGTGCAAAACATGTATACGTGTGTACATACATACATACATACATACATACATGCATGCGTGCATGCATGCATGCATGCATACATACATACATACGTACATACATACATACATACATACATACATGCATGCATGCATGCATGCATGCATGCATGCATGCATGCATGCATACGTGCATACATACATACATACATACATACACACATACATACATACATACATACATACATACATACATACATACATACATGCATACATGCATACATACATGAATCCATACATGCGTACATACGTACATACATACACGCATGCATACATGCATACATTCATACATGCCTGCATGCATGAGTGCTTACATACACACATGCATGCATGCATAATACATTACACCTACATAAACATACATACATGTGTGTACAACCATGCATGCAGACAAGCATACATGCATGCATAGATGTATGCATGTATGCATACAAACATGCATACATAACATATATAATGGTGCATGCAGACATGCATGCATGCATGCACGCATGTATGCAGACACGCATTCATGTACGCATGCAGTATCTATGTATGTGTATGCACATGCATGCACACATGCATACACAACTACCTATGTACATACAGACCACCTTCCTGCCCACCTATCTATCTACAAATGTCCCGACCTACCTAGCGACCTAGCGACCTACCGACCTACCCACCGCCCTACCTACCTACCTCCTCCGCCTCCTCCATCCTCATCCTCCTCCGCCTTCTCCTCCTCCTCACCCGCCTGCTCCCCCCTATTCAAAAGAGGCCCGTCTCCGAACGTGCAGAGACGCTGTAGTTCCACGTGCCCGCGGACCCGGGCGTGTCGCAGAAGATGCCGGCCGGGAACTCGCTGGAGGCGGTGTAGTCCGAGGAGACCAGGTCGATCCCAAAGTCCTCCGCCCCTCGCTACCTGCAACCCCTGTGTGACGTTCTTCTCCTCCAGCTGTTCCTCCTCCTCCTCCTCGTCCTTCTCGTCCTGCTCCTCCTCCTCCTCCTCCTCCCTCTCCTCCTCCTCCTCCTACTCCTCCTCCTCCTCCTCCTCCTCCTCCTCCTCCTCCTCCTCCTCCTCCTCCACGCCCCTTTTTCTGGCGCCGTCCCACAGCTGCTTCGCCCCGTCAGCGTGATCTTCTGCATACCGCCCCTCCTCTCTCAGCCACATTGCCTGGTGCGATTTTTGCAATCGAAATACTAGCAGACCACCTCTCACGTCAATGGAGGTCTTCAGTGGAGACTCCGAAGGCGTGCCATAGCCTCATCGCGCAGCCACTAGAAGCCGCATGGCTCAGACCCCCGGCCCGCGCAGAAGCCACACGGGGAGGGTAGAACGCGGATCTGTCCTAGTAGAAGCACAGCGGGGAGGGGAGCAGGAAGAGCAGGAAGGGGAAAAGGGAGTGCGCGTGTGCGTATGAGATGCATGAGACGCTACGGTATGAGGCGAAGCCGTCTGAGACAGCTTGCCGGCGTGATTGCCAGACCCCCAGGCCGTAGGTTTTTTTGCACAGTCGCGTTGGGCCATCGGCGACGACGAAGGCAAGCAAGATCCAAGACTGGCGACGGCGAATCGCAGCAGCAGAAGCAAGCGGGACACGGGAACAGCGGCGGCGATCCGCAACAACGAAGGCACACGGGACCCGAGAGCGTCGGCGGCAGATCGCAGTGGCCCCGGCCTCCGGGGCCGAGAGCCACCGACTCGACTGCGAAAAAACAGGCGGGGCCCCAGACTAGCGCTAAGTCGGGCCTGTCCCCCTACAGGGGGATTTTCGAGGAAAACTAAAAAATACCCCCAAAACATTAAAAACATAGTCCGAAAATAGTCTGGGGATGCCAAGATGGGAAAAAAATGCTCAAAGAATTGCTCAAGATGGCATAAAATGCTCAAAAAATTGTCCCCTGACTATTTTTTGGCTATTCCTGAATTTGCCCCCTGTAGAGGGACAGGCCCGACGCAACCCTCTAGACCAGCGGCGACCCGCCGCCGCAGCGAGGGCCAGAAGCCACCATGCGCAAGGGCGACGGCGAAGCGCGAAAACGAGGGCCGCCAGAAGACCGGGAGCCGGCGCACGCGATCGCGAAAAGGAGGAGCCACTGGGGCCCGAAGATGGCGACGGCAGATCTTTGGTGCGGGACGGGGGAATGACCACAGCCACTGTTTCTTGTTTGGGCCGCCTTCCAGCTGGCCGACAAAAGAAGCAGTGGTTGCGGTCATTTCCCTGGTGCCAAGCTTAACGAAAATGACCACAACCACTGCTTTGTTTCTGCTGGCTGGAAGGCGGCAACAAAAGAAAAGCAGTGGCTGTGGTCGTGTTCACGTCCCGTATTTGGGGTCCCGAAACGGTGCGGTGACGGACCGTGCGGTGACCTCGAAACCCCCCAAGACCTCACCGCACGGTCCGTCACCGCACGGTCCTGGGACCCCGGAGGCCCCTGTCGCCCGAGACGTCCTCGGAGAACGGCCCGAGTCCCAAAACCGTGCGGTGACCCCGAATCCCCACCGACTCACCGCACGGTGTGGTCACCACCCTGTTTGGGGGCCCCCCAAGATCGCAGCAACCAGAGCAAGCGGGACCCAGGACTGGCGACGGCGAATCACAACGGCGAGCACAAGCGGAACTCGACAAGCAGCGACAGCAAATAATTCGCCGGCCCAACGTGCCAGAGGCGTGCTAAGATCTCCGGTAACTTGTTAACAGTATTTCTAGTTCGCGCGCGCGGAGCGGCCCCTGGGGGCCCCCGGACGAAAAGTACCCCGGCAAGGTCCCGAGAGAAGCCCGGGAGAAGCCACCAGACCACTCCAGGGGAGGGTATTTTTCGACACCCCTCACGAGGATCGTGGCCTCCGAGGGGGGAGCCGCAATCGACTACCCCCAAGAGCCCCCCAAGAGGCCCTGGGGGCCTCCAAAACGCCGCCAAGGAGCCCCAAGAGACTCCCAAGATGTCCCCAAGAGGCCCCCAAGAGGCCCTAAAGAGGGCTCCAGGGCCGGCGGCATGAGCGAAGCGATTAAATAACCAGCGACTGCAAGTCGCAGCAACGATAACAAGCGGGACCCAAGAGCGGCGACGGCGAATCGCGGCAACGAATGCAAGCGGGACACGGGAGCAGTGACAGCGAATCGCAGTTATGAAGGCAAGCGGGACCCGAGATGACGACAGCGAATCACGCTAACGAAACCAAGTCCTTCCGGCAAAAACAAAAACAAGTTGAGAACTACAGAGCAAACAGCATGATCATGTGGGCCATACGTGCTCGTGCTGACGCGCTCAGATGGCAGCTGTGTATGCAGATGTCTGCACCGCAAAGTTCTCTACCTTGGCGCACATGAGAAACGAAGCGATCGGACTCGTCGCGGACCCCCGAGGGACTTCGAAGGAACCGTTGGAACCGACTCTGCGCCTTCTGCTCCGCGCCGCTGGCGGTCGCGGAACGCGCTCGAAACCGGGCGGGCCACGCGCGGGAGGAAGGCCGACCCTGCGCAGGCGGGCAACCCCACCTGGAAAACGATGTGGCTTGACGGTGGCATCGCGAGCTGTCTTGGCGCCGACGCCCTTCCGCATGTGTGTGGGCGGGCGACGAGGCCCGGGCGAGCGCGGCCCGGGCCCCCGCCGCGACGCGCGCACCGCCGGCCGCGGCCGCGCGCTGTGGCAGCGCAGGCCTGCTCGTCGCACCAGCAGCCCGATGCTCGGGGGCGTCCAAGAGCGGGGCGTCCAAGAGTGGCATGGCCCCCGCCACGATGTTCACCCCGCCCCTAAGTCGTCCCCCCCCTCCTGGCCGCTCCCGAGGTGCGCGCGACCTCCGCGCCGCAGTGCGGGAAGGGCCCGCGGCTGGCCGGGCCTGCCTCTCTCGGAAGCGGGCGCCGCGCGGACGCCAGCGAGGCGGAGGTGGCTCGGCGGTCAGAGTGCCGCATCCCCCCCTCTCCAGCGGGCAGTGCCAAGCCGGGGCGGGGACGGAGGAGCGCCGACGCTAACGCGGGGCGCGGCGTGACTGCCACTCCTCCCGCTTTCCTCTGCATCCCTGCGCTGCTGCGGCCCTCGCTGGCGTCGTCGACCTGTCCGTCGCCGCAGCGCTTCACCGCGAAGCCGCTTCCACTTCGGGGTGAACCGGCGCTGGCTTGCCAGAAGCAAAAACCGAAATACCCCAGCAAGGCACCCGAGCAGCAGCAAAGCCCCAGCCGGAACAAGGGGTAAGAGCACGGCCAGGTGCACCTCTGTGTGCTTTAAACCCGGGGGCGTGGCCGTCCGGACCAAACGTGTATCCCGCATCGAGGCGAGAGCACTCTGCCTGAATACATTGCGAGGAAGTCCGAAACGAAGCGGGTGCTGGACGTCGTGGTCGCTGGCTCACCGTCCCCCCATGTGGGACTCTTCTGCTGTCTATGTGTCACCGCTGCGGTCGGGAACTTTGGGATCGCGTGTCGCCACGGCGGCCCCAGAGACACGCTAAGCCTTGCGAGCGGATCGCGTGTCGCTCCGCTCCGCGGGGCGGGGGGCTCGGAAAGGCTCGGACGTGCATGATGGACGCGTGGGGACTGGGAAGCGGATAGCGTGTCGTGCCTGAAGCGCGGTGAGCCGAAAATTGGGAGCCTGCACGCCCCAGCGTGCCTCGGCCAGCAGTGCAAAACGAAGAGGAAGGGGAAGAGGAACAAAGGGGAGAAAACACATGATGACGAGGAAGGGGTGCACGACGAGGACGAGACGGGAGGAACACGAGGAGCAAGACGAGGCAGAGCGGCGGGAAGGCAAATGGGGACGGGCGGAGGACCACGGGGAGGAGGAGCAGACACATCCGCAGCGAGTGGAGCAGCAGCATTGGCAGCAGAAGCAGCTGCAGGAGCCCAAGCAGCAAAGCAAATACGTTGACGGCGGACCGCTTCGTGCTCGCGCCCGACTTTCCCGTGCGGCGGCGAGCGCGCGGAGGCCGCGACTACAGCCGGGGTTGATTGGAGAGGAAACGCGAGAGGACACAACCTCCGTCCGAGGGCCACAATTCCACAGGACTGTAGGAAGCATGGGCCGCGAAGCACAGGACACAAGTAGGGAAACGAACTCTATACACCGACGCTTTTTCCGACCCTGCGCTGAAATTCGCACAGGAACGCGGATCCTGGTGTATACGGGATCCTGGTGTATACATTTTTCGTTGCTTCCCCTCGGAAAACGGGTAAATAAATAGTTATACACCTAACCACCCCGACGTCGCCCCCGACCCTCAAAAAGTCCTGGGATTGAAAAACCGCCGGCCACTGGAGATGAATATGCTCCAGTTTCCGAACGAGGGGTACCCTTGCTCCAGCAGGGTCGACCTACTAATCGGCCTCGCCTGCAGAAAGGGGCCCAGGCCGGCATTGGTGCCCGGAGGCCGCGAGCCCAGCGCCCCCCTGCTTGGGGAGGCTTCCAGGCCCGAGGCTGCACACGGGAGCTGACGCGGGAGGAAGCCGCGCTCGACAACGACTTCATGTGCGAGGTGGGGAATTGTCCATATCCACCGCCTGAGGACCGACGTCCTGGTGCCCTAGCAGGCGGTGGATATGGACATGGTTCGGCCCCCGGGGGCCCGAAAGGGCCATATCCACCGCCTGCCGAAGCTCCGAGAACTGATCCTCCAGGCGGTGGTCATGTATAAATTCCCGCCTCGGATTTATGTGGCAACCCATGGGGGCCTCCCACGCCATCCTGTTGGCCTTTGCGAATCGACGCTAGATCGACGCTAGATCGACGTTCACTCGACGCTAGTTCGACGCGAATCGACGCTAGCCGACCTTAAATCGGCACTATCCCATCCACTCTCAGACGTTAATCGACGCCAGTCGACGCTGAAGAAAAAATTGAGAGGGTATACCAGGTTCCCATGATTTGCTACCGAGCACAACGGTGGTCCTTCTGAACAATGGCGCCCCCCTGCCACCCTGCAAGCAGAGCAAGTGGGTCTGCGTCCGCTCTGGGCTGCTAAGGACGCTCCCGCCCATGAGGGCAGCTTCTTCTAGCGAGAGGTGCTCAGGAGGTAGTACGAGCTCGAACGGTTGCTTGCTCGAGCGAGGTCCGCATCTCGACTGACTTCGCGCAGAAGCCGTCCTCCCGCAGCTCGCGCAACCGCCCCTGATGCCCGGTGACCCCCGCGGTGCTCCAGGGAGAGATCCCCCGGGTGCCCAGCGGTCCGCCCAGCGCAGGCCGTGGACCGCGGACGGGTACACGGCGCTGGCGCGCAGCGACTGCCCACAGTGATGTAGCAGCAACTGGGCGCACTCCGTGGTGGCGTTGACGTTCCCCAGAAATGGGGAGGCCAACGGGTCTGCTTCCAGTGACCGCGGCGCGAAGATGAGAAAAGAGAGAGAGAGAAGAGGAGGCTGTTCCTCCTGCCCCCGCTCCTGCAGTAACGCTACCCGACGTCTTCTCGTCATCGTTTGGTTGTTCTCTCTATTTCTCTCTCTCTCTCTCTCTCTTTCTCTGCATCTCTCTCTCTCTCTCTTTCCAACTTTCTCTCTCCCTCCCTCTTTCTCTCTATCTCTCTCTCTCTCGCTCCCTCCGACCCCTCTCCCTCTCTCTATAACACCCTCTCTCTACAGGTGTGTTCATGATATAGATCTATGTATGCATGCGTGTACGTACATATGGATACACGCACACCTATATATGTAAATGTGTGTACACGTGTACACCGATGTGCATACACATCGATGTACCGGTGTAAACATACACGAGTGTATCGCTATCTCTCTCTCACTCTCTCCTTCTCCCTCTCTAGATTGCTCTCTCTCTCTCTCTCTATCCCTTTCTCTCTCTATCCCTTTCTCTCTCTCTATGATCACGCTGCACCGTCCTCGGAGAAGCCCAAGTTCGTCACGGCCCCAAGCCCCGCTTCGCTTCGCCGGAAGACGGTAAAGCGGGCGTCGTAGAAGTGATCCTGGCAGCGGTGCGCACGGCACGGCAGCTGAACCAGAAGCGCCCGATTGCCTCCCCGACCTATCTTCCACCTCCGCCCCAAGATTTCCTCTTCTCCAGAGCAGTATTTTGGAGGGGGTGGGGAAACCAAAGGGTACCGATACCGCTACTCCCCAGACCTCTCCTGGGGCGCATTCTGACCAGGGTTCCGAGGCGAGTCCAGCGGTGGCGACGAGGGCCCCCCAGGAGGCCCGACAAGGGGAGAACGGGCGGTATGGGCAGAGGTAATTATGGGTACCTGGTCCCTCCTCTGAGCAATACTTTGGAGAGGGGGCGCAGAGGAGCAGAGGAAAGGCAAGAAACTTGTTCACGTCGGTGGCTAGGCAGATCGTCCGGAATACAGATGCCCACGGACTGCCCCGTGGGCATCTTCATCCGAGATCGTGGACTGTCAGCCTCCGAGGCGCGGACGTCGTTCGGGGCCGACGCAAGCGAGGGAGCTCCCTCGCAAGCGATCTGAAGCCGCGGCCCTCCGCCCTCCGCTGCCCCGAAGCACGACCCCCCCGCGCATGTCGCGGCAAGGCAGTATAACTGCGAGGGCGGAGAGCCGACCGGACGGGGGTACACGTCGCGCATTTCTCATCGTGCTCACTTCTACGCGTGCTCGTTTCGATGTGTTCCCGGCCCCCTCGTGGCCAGGAAGAGGCCCAGGACAGAACAATCAGAACTGAAAGGACCTCGGCCCCCCAAAAAAATCAGAGGGCTTCCGAAGAAGTAGAGCTGAACCATGGGTGCCGTTGCAGGGCAGGGCAAGGAGCGCGCGCTCCACCGAAGGGACCAGCAGGCCGCCGGGCCGCCGAGAGCGCACGCAGCCGTTCCCCCAGGGCCCAGACGTGAGAGCCCTGCAGCCTCGGGCCGGGAGGCAGAGGCAGGTGTCACGGAGTCGGTGCAGGGACGGCCCAAAAGGGAGGGGAGAACTAGAGAGGAGGAGGAGGAGGAGGAGGAGGAGGAGGAGGAGGAGGAGGAGGAGGAGGAGGAGGAGGAGAGGAGGAGGAGGAGGAGGAGGAGGAGGAGAGGAGGAGGAGAGGAGGAGGAGGAGGAGGAGGAGGAGGAGGAAGGCGAGTGCAGACAGGTGAAACGAATTCGCCCTGGCATCCACACCCGCCCTGAGAGGTAGCCCAAAGGCCCCAGTATGGCTCGCAGGCGGCCCCAAGATATCTCCAGGATACTCCTGCTCAAAAAAAAACAAATGCGGCATGGCCCCGAGAAGGCCACAGACAGTCAGAACCCGACCACCATTGAGCCACGAACCCATCAGTGGGTGGACTTGCGGCAAAGGGAGAAGCCCTTCAGATCAACATCGCGAGATATATTCAAAGTTCAAATGACGAGGAAAAGCAGAGAACGAGGGCAAGAAGCACGATGCTCTGACATGTGAAATGTCCACCTGTGGATTGCAGTCCACGTGGAACACGATCAGCACCTTCGGGAGGCAAACATAAACTAGGGACAGGCACACAAAAGTGCGATCAGGATCTTAGAGGACATTGCCCGAACGCAAGAAAAAGCCACCATGACGAAAAGAGGGAGGCCAGAGAATGTAAGTCCCTCCCAGAGGACATGAAGAAGCGTACGAATACCGAGAAAAGGAAATTGCAGAAGGCACGTCTGAAACACAAATGCGTTTCTCGCAAAATATGGGACCCACCGAAAGAATGACGAGGATGTGCTTAACAATTCGTGACATTTGGGGCGTCCCCACCGGCCTCCCTCGGCAACGCAGCACAGCAGTTCCTGAGAACTACGAGCCCCGTGGACCGACGCCCAACTGGGGAAATGACGGGAGATGCCCACTGGCTGGCTACTGCGCACTGGCAGACGTACCATCAGCTGACCACTGGCTGGCCACTGCGCACTGGCAGGCGTGCAATTTGATCTGAGGCATAAGCAAGGGATCCGCCGGCACCCTTGGGGCCCAACAGGCCAGGCTAGGCTGCCCTGTTCCCTTCACCAGTCCCAGCTCCCAAGGTACACGGCGGTCGGAAGAGGTAGGTAAAAGCATGAAGTAGGACGGCGGGTAAAGTAGACTGGGTCCAGGCCCTCCCGGAGAAGGACAAAACACAGCAGAAGCAGATCGATCCTTGAAGCAGGAAGGCGTTACTTGAAGTAGATTGGGATCCGGGAGTCCAAACATACATACCTTCAACCACCGACGGGTATAGTTATAGTGTGGTGAGCAATTTCTTATTTGGCGTTTCGACATTGAGCGAAAAGTGAAGGGGGATGGGTGGGGGCCTCTGGCTCCGGGCCTCTGCTTAAGTGTTAAGTCGGGCCTGTCCCTCTACAGGGGAATTTTCGACGAAAAAATAATCAAAAAGTACCCTAAAATGACAAAAATGCTTTTGACTAGTTTTGAATATCCCTCCTGTAAAGGGACAGGCCCGACTTAAGCTTAGTGCGACTGCTTGCACCCGTGCGTCCTGCGGAGGAGAGACTCCACCTGCCTGCAACGGGCGCCAAAAACATCCGAGACCTACTGCATGGGGGCGGGGGGGGAGGGCGGGGTGCGAGGGCCCGCGCAGATCGGCAAAGCAGTGAATAAGAAAACGATCGCCAGGTTCGAGTTGCTCGTTTCGTAGCTCCACTGCTTTCATGACGCGAGACGGCGCGAGGGCCCCTGGGACTCTTGGTGGTGCCCCAGGGCCACATCGACATACTTCGAGGCAGGGCGGTTTGAGACACCGGGAGGTCAAAATCGGTCCCCGGACCCCTCCTGTGGGGTCCAAACGCACCGCTTCCCCGAGCTGCGCCCAGCCGCGGCGACGAGGGGGGCCCCCGGAGGCCAACGACCAATGTCTCAAGCGGCCCTCCTCTGAACACTGCGGGCTTGCCCACCCGAGGCCACGGTCCCATGTAAATTGCGGCGCGAGGCCACGGTCCCCTGTAACTGACGCCAGGCTCGCGCAGGAGAGCCCAGAATCCAATCGATACACCGGATCCGCGATCGAAATGAATCGGATCGACGGAAATCGGCAAGCGAGTCTGGAGAAGTCGGATCGGCGGAAATCGGCAGGCTAGTACGCCTCCAATAAGGAATCATAATCAAAATCGGAAGCCGAAGTCGAATCTAAGCGGAATCGGAAGCCATCGAAATCGAACCGAAGCGAATCGGATGAATCGAAACGAGCCCTGGGCTCGCGCTCCCGAGACCACCATTGCTGGCAATTACGCTACGCTCGCGCTCCCCAAGCGACTATCGCCAAGAACCTGCGCCACAGTCGCGCTCCCAAGCCACAACCCCAGGTAAAGCATGACCAGTTCGCGCCCACGAGGCATCAACCGCTGGTACAGTGGATGCCCACGCCGAGAAACACCCTGCTTGCCTCCAGGGTGCTCTGGGTTTCTTGGGTTTCGATGGCTTTGCTGTGGAAAACGTGACGTTCCCAAGCCAGAAATCCAAGGACATCTTGGGGTCTCAGGGTTGGGTTTCTTGTGGAAGGTTTCTTGTGGTCGGGCTCCTGCTGTAAATTATTTCAGATCCGCGCTCCCGAGGCCACATCCCTTGCATATCATAACAGAGCTGCGCCAACGAAACCACAGTCCCGTGTTACAGTATTGCAAAGATTCACGCTCCCGAGGCCACGAACCCACACCACGGAGGGTGCCCGGAAGCGCCCTCCCCCCTCAAGAGCAGAAGCCCGACCATGTTCTGCATTGGGATACGCGTTCGGGGGACTCTTTTTTTTGCTCCCCGGTCGTTTCCTAAGAGTTCGGCTCGTGGCCAGAGACCACGAATCCGTGTAGATAGCTAGGGGCGCGTGCTCCCCAAGCCTCAAACACACGTGATTTACGATGCAAGCGCGCTCCAGAGGCCACCATTTCTAATTACGTATTACAGACGCGCGCAACCAGCCAGCGGGCAAACAGCCCAAATCGGTTGCCACATTTCAGTCGCGACGAGAAAGCCAACCTGCCGAGTTGCCAGCCAGCAGTCCGACGGGAAAGCCAACCGACCTACAAGCGCGGCCTCGCAAGCCATCTGAGGGGGGGCCGACAGCAGGGAGCGAAGCTCTGAAGATAATCTGTTGGACGCGGCCAACACCACCCAAGGGATTTGCTTCCCCTAGCGGAAGAGTGGCCGATAGCGAAGGCACCGAGGATGAGCATCTAAAGCTGGAGCCAAGATTTAACAGGAGGGGCTCAAGCTTGCAATATAGCTGACGCCTTTGCTTCAATTAGCAGCGGCCGCCTCTCGTTTATGTTCGCTTGCGTTCCCGTAGAGGTTTCATCATCCATGCTAGATGGCAACAATTAGGACGCCGACAAGTAGCAAACACACTGCCTCACAAAACAACCTGTCTGTCGCATATAAGCACTACGCGTTCACGGCGAGCATGCAATGCGATCCACACAAAGTGGCCGAAGAGAGCACCGTGGTCACCTTATCCCTGGGCCGTGCCAACGTCACAGACACCGAGAGCCCAGGAATCTCCGTCCAGTGGGCCTTCGCAGCAGGGGGATGAGGCGAGAACAGAGAGAGAGAGGGAGAGAGAGAGAGAGAGAGCAAGACGAGAGAGAGAGATAGGAAACAAAAAAGCTATACCTCACTCTATATATATATGTATACAGCGAAGAAGAAAATTATATGCATACCTATATATATATATATACGCAAAATGATAGAGATCAAACAAAGAATACGAGAGAGAGAGAAGGGGAGTAGAGAGAGAGGGAAGGCTTGAGAGAGGGGAGAGAGAGAGAGAGGAGAGCGAGAGAGAGAGAGAGCAGAGAGACGTGTATGTGCAAGTATGTATACGAGGACACACCTATATGTGCTTATGCATGTGTAGTCGTGTAGTTTCTGTGGTAACAGCTACAATGCGTAAGTGTGCGTGCGTGCACTGGTCTAAGTTCACTTCATGGCGTCGACGTATGATAAGCAAGTACGTTCCAATATGTATACACATATATACACAATCATACCTGTACGACCACCCTTCTGGTGATAAGGAGGCTGTTTGGGAAAAGAACCAACTGATGGCAATATTGCTGGTTGTGATGGGGACGATGCCAGTGATGCGCCCTCGGGCTGGAGACGGTCGATCTCACAACAGATCGCACTATCGATCTCCCAATCGATCTCACCGTCACTCTGACAATCGAACTCGCTATGGACCTCACAGTCAAACTTACTATCCATATCACACCGGCTCTCACTATCAGCCTCACTATCAGCCTCACAATCGAATTCCCAATCGATCTCACAATCGACCCTATGATCGATCTCACTATAGATCTGAACAGCGATCTCACCATCGATCTCACAACAGATCTCACCAACGGATCTTACGATCGATCTCCCAAACGATCTCAGTGCCGATCTCGCCGCCCTGCTCCGGGGCAATGACTCGCGCCGCCACGCCACGGGACACGGAACACCGACGCGACACCGACGGGGCACCGACGGGACACCGACGCGCCACCGACGGGACACCCCCAGCCACCGCGCGCCGCGGGGGGGAGGGGCGGACAACCGGCTCCACAGCCCCCAGCCACGGCGGCGACACCGACGGGACACCGACGGGACACCGACGGGCCACCGACAGGACAACCCCGGCCACCGCGCGCAGGGGGGTGGAGGGGCGGAAAATCGGCTCCACAGCCCCTAGCAACGGCGGCATTATTCCTCTCGCGAGCCTACGCAGCTTCGCCTCGCCCGCACGCACGATACGAACACGAAACCGAAACCGATTTCCCCGTGGGGGGCGCTCCGTTCCACTGCGATCTTACTTCGAACCTCCGATACAAGTACGCACAACACACCAATGACAAGCATAAGCCAACAAACACAACAAAATCGCCTGGCGAAGGACCCAACCATATGCGATTGTGAATACCGTAGTTGTGAATATCGTCTCAAGAAAGCGCCCCAACCGGGTCACGACACGTGCGAAGAGTGCGCCGAAATAGTGCGAAGAGGGACTGCGAACCTAGCCATTGGGGCCTTCGGTGGAGCTCCCTATGGGGCCACGAAGCGTGTGAGGGGTGTGCCGAGATGGTGCGGAGAAGGCATGCGAACGTAGCCACTGGGGCCGCAGGTGGAGCTCCCCAAGGGACCACGAAACATGGGAGGAGTGCGGCGCAGTGGTGTGGCGAGGGCACGCGGACGCAGCCACTTGTGCCACAGGTGAAGCTCCCCATTGGCCCACGAAACGCGTGAGGGGTGCACCGATACTGTCAAGAATGGAACAAGGACCCAGCATCTGTGGCCTTCGGGATCCTAGTCGCGGAAGAAGCAGTCGAGGAAGAAGCAGTCGAGGATCTGGGGCTCCCTATGGGGCCACGAAGCGTGAGAGAGTCGTGCGCCGAAGTGGTGTGCGGAAGGTTTGCGGGGGCGCGGCGGCCGAGAGCCGATGATGATGACGACGATGACGATGAAGATAATGAAGATGAAGACGAAGATGAACATGGATATGAAGATGAAGATGGAGATGAAGATGACGATGACGATGAAGATAATGAAGATGAAGATGAAGATGAACATGGATATGAAGATGAAGATGAAGATGAATATGAAGATGATGATGATGATGTTGATGACGGAGACGATACTTACGATGCTCGTGCTGGCGATGCGAACGATGATGACGATGATGACGATAGCGATGATGGAAATAATCATGCTGATGATGAGGATGATGAGGATGATCAGTGTGATGGTGATGGTGATGGTGAGGATGATGGTAATGATGAAGATGATGACGATGGTGGTAATGATGATTGTGGTGATGGTGATGACGAGGATGATGGTGATGACGGTGATGGTGACGATGATGGCATGCATGGAGATTATGGTGGCGTTGATGGTGACTGTGGTGATGCTGACGATGATGACGATAATGTCGCTTATACCGATAAGGATGGTGATGGTCACGATAGCGATGATGCTGCTGATGGTGATGATAATGACAATGGTGGTGATGGTGTTGATGATGTAAGTGTTGATGACGCTGAAGATGATGGTGGTTATGATGACGACGGCGACAACTACGACGATAATGTGGTGAAGACGTGGGTGGGCCACCAGGTCTGGTGCTGATGAGGTCGATGGTAACGATGCTGCTGCACGCTAGAATGATGAAGATGCTGATCTTTATGCGGATGCTGATAGTGGATGATAGAAGATGAGAATGACGATGCTAATACATATGATGCTGATGACGACAATGATGATGATGGTGATGATGCTGATGACGATGATGATGATGACGATGGTAATGATGATGATGGTGATGATGATGGTGATGATGCCGATGGTGATGATGCTGATGATGACGATGATGATGATGACGACGAGGATGATGATGGTGATGATAATGGTGATGGAGATGATGCTGATGACGACTGGTGGTTGTTGATTATGATGGTGCTGCTGATGACGATTCTGATGATGATGACGGTGGTGGTGATGGTGATGCTGGTAACGAGGATTGTGGTGATGGTGCTGGTGGGGCTGATGGCGCTGATGGCCATGATGGTGATGACAATGGAGGGGGGTAAGGATGAGGAGGAGTGAGGAGGGAGCCGGTGCGAAGGGCAGAGGTCGGGGCGGGGCGGGAGGAGGAGAGAAGGAGAGGACGCGGGGGCGCTGCTGCGTCGAGCCGAGGGCCCAGCACCGCACATAACGGCGGGGAAGTCGCCTGCCGAGCGACCCAAAAATATACATGCAACGACGAGTGCCACACTGTGGGTACCGCTTTCCGTGGAGCTCCCTCTGGGGCCACGACACGTGTGAGGGGTGTGCCGGCGTGGGCGGCAGGGGCACATACCACCTCGGCCTGTTGGGCCTTGGGTGGCGCTCCATCTGGGGCCACGCAACGTGTGAGGGGCGCGCCGAATTGCGCGGCATGGACGGCATGCAACCTCAGCCTCTTGAGCCGTCGGTGAAGCTGGGGCCACGAAACGTGCCCGGGGTGTGCCGAATTGGGCGGCGGGGACGCATGCAACCTCTGCGTTTGGGGGCGGTGTAGCTTCCTCTGGGGCCACGACACGTGTGAGGGGTGTGCCGGCGTGGGCGGCGGGGGCACATACCACCTCGGCCTGTTGGGCCTTGGGTGGCGCTCCATCTGGGGCCACGCAACGTGTGAGGGGCGCGCCGAATTGCGCGGCATGGACGGCATGCAACCTCAGCCTCTTGAGCCGTCGGTGAAGCTGGGGCCACGAAACGTGCCCGGGGTGTGCCGAATTGGGCGGCGGGGACGCATGCAACCTCTGCGTTTGGGGGCGGTGTAGCTTCCTCTGGGGCCACGACACGTGTGAGGGGTGTGCCGGCGTGGGCGGCGGGGGCACATACCACCTCGGCCTGTTGGGCCTTGGGTGGCGCTCCATCTGGGGCCACGCAACGTGTGAGGGGCGCGCCGAATTGCGCGGCATGGACGGCATGCAACCTCAGCCTCTTGAGCCGTCGGTGAAGCTGGGGCCACGAAACGTGCCCGGGGTGTGCCGAATTGGGCGGCGGGGACGCATGCAACCTCGGCGTTTGGGGGCGGTGGAGCTCCCTCTGGGGCCACGAAACGTGTGAGGGGTGTGCCGAATTAGGTGGCGGGAACAAATGTAACCGCTGCCTTTTGAGCCTTGGGTGGAGCTCCTTCTGGGGCCACGAAACGTGTGAGGGGTGTGCTGAATTGGGTGGCGGGTGGCGGGAACAAATGCAAACTCGGCCTTTTGGGCCTTCGGTGGAGCCCCCTTCTGGGGCCACGAAACATGTGAGGGGTGTGCCGAATTGGGTGGCGGGAACAAATGCAAACTCGGCCTTTTGGGCCTTCGGTGGAGCTACCTCTGGGGCCACGAAACGTGCGGGGTGTACCGAATTGGGCGGCGGGGACGCATGCAACCTCGGTCTTTTGGGCCGATGGAGCTACCTCTGGGGCCACGAAACGTGTGAGTGGTGTGCCGAATTGGGCGGCGGGGACGCATGCAACCTCGGACGTTTGGGCCTTCGGTGGAGCTTCCTCTGGGGCCACGAAACGTGTGAGGGGTGTGCCGAATTGGGTGGCGGGGACGCGTGCAACCTCGGCCTTTAGGGCCGTCGGTGGAGCTCCCTCTGGGGCCACGAAACGTGTGAGGGGCGTGCCGAATTGGGAGGCGGGGACGCATGCAACCGCTGCCACTGGAGCCTTCGGTGGAGCTCCCTATGGGGCCACGAAACGCTGTCCTGGATGGCGTTGACGCAGAGGGAGGAGGGGGAGGCGCGCGGGAGGCGAGGGGCCACGAACCGTGCGAGGGGCGTGCCAAAATGGGTGACTATGCATAAGATGATGAAGTGATGATGATGATGATGATGATGATGATGAGGAGGAGGAGGAGGAGGAGGAGGAGGAGGAGGAAGAGGAGGAGGAGGAGGAGAAGAATAGAGGGAGGAAGGGAAGGAGGAGGAGGAGGAGGAGATGAGAGGAGCGGAGGAACGCGGGGCGCTGTGTCTTCAAAACGAAGACCCAACATCACAGGATGGTTGGGAAGAAACATGAAAGAACTGTGCGGTATCAACAAATACGCTTCGCGCACTCAGGCTCTAGCGCAGACGCCCAACATGGAGTGCAGACGGCCCACGAGGCCCTCGAGAAGCCGCAAGAAGGCCACACTAGGACTCCAAGAGGTCAAAGTCCTGGAAGAGGCCCCCAGGAAGCCCAAGGCGCGCAATATGGGCTGGCGGAATGAGTGGAGATATCAAATGAGAGAGACACACAGAGAGAGGGGTATGGGAAAACTTGCACGCGTTCGCAGAAGCTTGTTCCAACAACCGACTCGAGCATCCCAACGTCATGAAATTCACCAGATGCCTCCACCAGCGCACACAAGAAAGAGAGACAGAGAAAGAAACAGAAAAACAGAAACGCAGAGACAGACAGGCAGGCAGACTGAAAAAAAACACTGAGGGAGAAAGAGAGAAAAAGAGAGGAACACTCTTCCCCCTACCCGCCTAAAACCTTCACAGTTTCATCCCCTCTTTCCTGTCCAGATCCAAGAATCTAAACCCTGGAATCCTGGCCTCGAGAATTAATTCGGAATCTGAACCCATAATCCGACTCCAGAATTTTGGAATCGCGGGTCCGATCAAAAATCCGGATCCAAAATCCAGCATTCTGGATTCGAGAGCTTCATTACGGGATCCGAGCCCAGAATCCGAATCCGAATATTGAGCTGGCATATCCGCTCCAGCATCCGAACCCCGAAACCTCAAGATCCAAAATTCTGGATTCGGATCCTGGAATGGACCTTGATCGCCACCGCGGCAAAGAAATCCAGGCGGCCCCCTCGGGGCGGAGGTATCAGAAAGATGAAGATGAACCTCCCTCGCCTAAAAAAAAAACCTTCGCCTGTTCGGGGAGGGGAGGGGCCCGTCCCCCGCGTGTCGCGGCGGCTGCGAGCGGATGGCGTGTCTCGCTCCGCTCCGCGGCGCGGGCGGCTGGGAAGAGGCCCGGGACGTTGACGCTCGGGGACTGGGACGTGGTACTGTAGGCCAGAACCAGCGGCGCGACACGCTGACCAAAGGTCCCGATTGTGCCACTTCCCTGGGTGTGGCCGGGGCTCGGACGGAGGGGTCAAACCCTCCCGCGCCCCTCCACGCCCCCATCCATGCCCCTCGCCTCCACCCCCCCCTCTCCACCTCTGCCGAATATGGTTGACGACAGATCCCCACATACTTCCGAGAGGCTCCACGACGGATTCACACGCCCCCGGAGTCCCAGCATGACCCCAAGATGACCCCAAGAAAACCCCAAGATAGCCCGAAGTGTCCTCAGACAAGCTCTCACGACAAAGGATCCGCGAAGGCCTTCTCCTCGTCCTTCTTCTGCTCCTCTCCCCTTCCTCCTCGTCCTCGGTCATCTCGTCCTCCTCCTCCTCCTCCTTCTCCTCCTCCTCCTTCTCCTCCTCCTCCTCCATCCCTGTTCCTCACAAATAAATCCTTCTTGCCGAACCCTGAAACGTGGCGGTGGCGGTGGGGCGGGCTGGGCGGTTCGCCTGAGCTGTCCTCACCACCAACAACGATTGCGCGTAAAACTTTGCAACGGCTTCCCAAAAGGAGGGCGGATGTTTTTTCCCAACTGTGACTCTCGCTGGAGCGCTGCACACACTCGTCTTGAAAGTTTGCCAACGTTTCACGGGTGGACAGCGGGCGGCTTTCTAAATGTGGTCTTCGCCGTAACGCCGCGCATGTTCGTCCCAAGAGCTTACAGAAGTGGTAAATATTGTGATGGCTGACTTCCCAGAAATGCTGTGTTGGCACGATGCAGGACCGTCAGGGCGCAACAGTCACGTTGGTTCGCGGTGTTGAAGTCACACAGATGAACTTCTGGCACGATTCTGGATCGCCACGACGGAAACGTAACGTTGATTCGCGGCGTCAGAATTCCAGGAGTAGTGTTCTGGCACGGTTCTGGAATTCCAAAAACTTGTCCACTAACGGGGCACGCCCCTCAGTGAACAGGAATCCTTGTAGGTACCGATGAAGAGGGAACTTAGAGGGTGGGTGTATTGCTACATCGTTTATGGATAATTGGTTTACACTGCTCCTCCTCCTCCTCCTGCCGGTCACGCTCCTCTTCATGCTACACTTCATTATGCTATCGTCCCCATCCCCTGCTTCAACTTCCCTCCTCATCCACGCACCTCGCCTGGGCCAGCCTTGCTGCAACGGCTGGTGGGAAGACGCGAAGCATCAAGAGCTAGCTGACTCGACATTGCTGTGACTGCTCTACTAATCATCTTGGATAGCAAGACCCCTCATAAGATTACACAGCCGTGGCAAACATGTCTCCATCTTCCACTGGTTCAGACAGATCCACTCCCGCTGAACATTTCTAACATAACACTTGGCTTGTGGCGTTCGGCGGGGTAACGAGGGATGCGCCCAAGCGCGGAGTAGTTGGAACAACTTCTACTTCGAGCTCATCCGTATGATTGCGCCAAATTGAAAAACTGTCGCCACGGCTGTAAGGGGGAATATTGGCGATCCAAGGAGGGAGTGAAGCGAAGGTTTGGGAGGAGGGCCGCAGCGGCAGCAATCATCAGCGGAGACGTCAGCAAAAATGTGGCGGAGAGAAGCGAGGGTTTCAGGAGCAGCAGAACAAAGGGCGGGAGCAGAAGGAATCATGAAAGCAACCTGGATGTGTAAAGCGGTCGTCAAAGATGACGACACTTCGAATAAGTTTTTCTGAAGCCAGCGGTCAATCACACGCTCAACTCACCCTGGTCCGTGCTCAAACAGATTACGCGGTACCCGCGTGGAGACATGAGCCAAGGAACGGTCATTGGAGTTGGTGTGAATTGGCAAACTACAAGCAGTACATTTTCCCTGCTTAAAAAAACCGCTGCGAATATCTGCAACTACGTTATTATTCCAGTGGGGCCTCGAAGCCCGACCACCTACCCGACTACATCGATGATCCCCCATCTCTCCCAGACCCTGGTGATCAAAACGTTCCAGAACGCTCTGTAACGGAGTTCTCCTCGTCCCAGCCCCGCCCGACGATGCCCTTGCTGGAACGCCCCATGTGGACGGATAGGCCTGAGATGAGGGTGGGTGGGTGCATGTTAGAGCCGGACGCAGTACGAAGCACAGCGCCTGGCCCACATACTTATATCCCCAGCCCTCTTCAGCACGCCTAATATCGTCAGATTGGCCCATGTGTCAGCACGCTTACGACAATTGACATGCACATGCCAAGGCTGAGTCGGGGGTTCATCAGAACACGCATCGGTCATGCCTAATGGCGTCCACGACCCTACCTTCAGAGTCAATGGCCAAGCCGCCGCCATGTGGTGCCGTCCTGGCTATCAATCCATCCCCCTCGCCCCCTCTTGCTTGCGAGCGCGTGCATCGGCGATGCGAGCATGCCAGCCTCGCTTCGGCGAGGCGCGAGCGGTAAAGATGCAGGAAACGCTGGTACCGCTGGAGGGCAAGACTTCCGAAGCATCCCCGTTTTCCTCGTCATGTTCCTCCTCCTCATCCTCTTCCTTCTCCTCCACCTCCTCCTCAATGCATTACCCTCCTCAATGACCTCCTGCGGTTCACCTTCAATCTCAGGTCTATCCTATCGTCATCAGCAGCATCATCATCAGCAGCATCATCATAATCAGCATCATCAGTATCATCATCAGCATCATCATAATCGTCGTTATCATCATCATCATCATCAGCATCAGCAACATCATCATCATCATCATCATCACCATCATCATCATCATCATCATCATCACCATCATCGTCATCGTCATCGCCATCGTCATCGTCATCGTCATCGTCATCGTCATCGTCAGCATCGTAATCATCATCATCATCATCATCATCATCATCATCATCATCATCAACATCATCATGATCATAAGCATCATCACCACCACCGCAACCATCATCATCATCATCATCATCATCATCATCATCATCATCATCATCATAAGCATCATCATCACCCTCCTCGTCCACCCATGATTCCTCCTCCTCCTCCTCGGCTTCCTCCTTCTCCCCCTGCTCCTCATTCACCGCATCCTAGTCCAAAACTCCCTCATCTTTCTTGTCCATCCCTGTTTCGTATAAACAGCTTCCCCCTGTTGCCCCACCGCCACTCGATGTCTCTGCAGGCTGGGCGAGGCGTTTCGCTTCAGCCTTCCTTTCATTACAAAGAGCCTGAAACTGAAAGCGCAAACAAACACACGGAGGGACGGCTGCTGGGTCTCACAAACTATCCACCTCCTCCTCCTCCTCCTCCCTCCTCCTCCTCCTCATCATCATCATCATCAGCATCATCATCAGCATCATCATCATCCTCATCCTCCTCCTCCTCGTCCTCCTCCCCCTCCTCCTTCTCCTCCTCCTCCTCCTCCCCCTTCTGTTCCTCCTCCTCCCCATCATCTCCCCCTCGTCCGGGGAGATGCGTTGCCCTCTGGCCAAGTCTTTGGGCACCTTGGACGGGCACGAGGCTGTGCCGCCTCCACAAGTCTCTCGGGCACTCCACTGGCAGCAACAACAAACACAAAAACCAAAACAACAAAAAAAAAACCAGACAGACAGCGGCATTACTGGCACGAGCACACACCTGGAGGCGCCAGCGGAAGAAGGCGGACGAGTGGCCGCAGGAGGCGGAGCACGAGAGGAAGCGCGGAGGGGGCGGGAGAAGGAGCCGCGGCAGGAGAAGGCGGAAAAGGGCATGCGCAGGGCGAGGAGCAGGAAGGGTGGCCGCCAGAAGTTGCCGGAGCAGAGGGGGGGGAGCAGGAGGCGGAGAGAGGCACCGGCCGCAGAGCAGGAGCAAAAGCAGGAGCGGGTAGGAGGCCCTCCCGCCCGTGCCATCCTTACCCTTACTCCTCCTCCTCCTCCTCCTCCTCCTCCTCCTCCTCCTCCTCCTCCTCCTCCTCCTCCTCCTCCTCCTCCTCCTCCTCCTCCTCCCTCTTCCTCCTCCTCTCTTCCTCCTCCTCCTCCTCCTCCTACTCCTCCTCCTCCTCCTCCTCCTGCTGCTCCTCCCTCCTCCCCTTTATAAGCAACCCCTCCCTGTCGCACCCCGAGGCGGGTCGGCAGGTCGGACCGAGGGTTTCGCCTGAGACTTCCTCACCACCTACGATGCTGAAGCTCGAATTTGCAACAGCCTCTCCTGGCCATCGCTCGGACGTCCTTTCTCTGTGTTTTTTCGGTTTCGTGCGTGGTTTATTCGCCAAATGATCGAGGATGCTCCTCAAAGGTCCTCGGCGAAGGAAAAATGAAAACGTCCGAGCGATGCCAGCCTCACACATGGTGGGCGGGTCGTTTTCAAATCGCGGCTCTCGCCTCCGCGCCGCGCACATTCGCTGTAAAGGCTTGCAACACAGATGGGGATGGAGGGCGGGCGATATTCAGTATGTGGCGTTCGCCCTGGTGCCGCGCAGATTTGTCTGAAAGTTTACCACAGATTCTCGGATGGAGGAGGAGTGGAGCTCAAATTGCGGCTCTCGCCTGAGCGCCGCGCATATTCGTTTTCAAAGTTTGGCGCAAATGCTCGGATGGAGGGCGGATGAGTTTCAACATGTGTGGTTCTCGCTCTCGCCTTGGCGCCGCGCATACTCGCCTCAGAAGTCGCAGCACTTTCACGGATGGAGGGCGGCGCGCTTTCAAGAGGTGGTTCTCGTCTTCCCACCGCGCACCTTCGCCTTCAATGTTTGCAACACGTTCGGGGAAGGAGGGCGGGCGGTCTTCAGATGGCGGCCCTCGCCCGGGCGCCGCGAACAGTCGTTTCGAGAGGGCGGGTCGAGTTCAGAATGTGGCCCTCGCATCAGCACCGCGCACATTCGTCTTACCAGCTTGCAGCAATTTCACATACTCTCGCGGCTGACGTCCCAGGATGCTGCTTTGGCAACAAGTATGCTTGTCAGGGCACGACAGTCCCTTTGACTCTCGGTGCTGGCGTCCCAGAAACGGTGTTCTGGCACGGTTTGGGATCGCGAGGTCGCAACAGTAACGTTGACTCGCGGCGCTGAAGTCCCAGGAATGGTGCTTTGGCAGGGTTGAGGACTTCAAGCGGTTGTCTTCCAACGAGGATTTTCCCGCAATGAAGATGAATCCTTGTAGGAGCCTTTGAACGGGAAACGTTGAGGGAGGGCTTATTGCAACGTGAGTCTTGGGTTGACACTGGTCCGCGTCCACCTCCTCATCATCCCCCTCGTTCTTGATTCGTGTCCGACCGCATGGGCGACCTGGTTTACATTGGGGGAGTGGCTGTCAGGCAATCTGGGGTGTGCCATCACTCGCCTCGGTGGCCCTTGCGTTCTATCGCAATGCGTCGGCCAAACACGCTACAGCCGCTAGCGCTTAAACTTTTCCCTGGGCGAATGCATCCGCTGCTGCAGGACCATCGAGCAAAGCCACCGTGTATGCAACGTTCCGGGGACACTCTTCCAGTTTACAAGCTGTGGTGGTGGCATGCTTGTCTGTCACGAAGCTCGGCGAAGCAAGATGAGCCCGTTACGCATCAGCGTCGGACAGGACGTAGTTACACCCATGCATAACCCAACCACCCCTACTGCCGCTGTCACCAACGCTACCATCGAAGAAGACGCAGATGTGCGTGGGTATATCTATCCGCCGACCCCCGCTTGCCTGGGGTAGAAGCGCGTGCGAGACATTTGGCTGTCCCCTTTCCCCCTTTCCCCCTTCCAAAAGGGTGCAACAGCGGATGAAAGGGGGAGGGTGCCAACGGAAAAGGAACAATGTCCAACCACTTCGGTAGAAATTCCAACCACTTGGGCACTAGTTCCAACCACTTCGGCATGAATCCCACCAAACCTTCATGAGAGGCCCTCCAAAAGTCTTCCAGGCGTCTGTGAGAGGCGTTTCTGCGAGGCGTCTCTGAGAGGCGTCTCAGACACGACATCTTACAGGCGTCTGCGAAGGGCGTCTCTGAGAGGCGTCTTCGAGAGCCGTCTTACAGGCGTCTCTGAGAGGCGTTATAGGCGTCTTACAAGCGTCTGTGAGAGGCGTGTTACAAGCGCCGTCAGAAGTGTTTTACAGGCGCCTCTGAGACGCGTCTTACAGGCGTCTCTGAGGGACGTCTTACAGGCGCCTCTGAGATATGTCTTACAGGAACCTCTGGGCGGTGTTACACAGGAGTCTTACAGGTGCCTCTAGTGGGGTGTTTTTCAGACGCTTATGAGAGGCGTACTCCAGGCGTCCTACAGGCGTCTCTGCGAGAAGTCTTACAGGCGCCTCGAGAGGTGTTGTGTGGGCGTGTCACTGACGGGCGCCTCTGAGAGGTGCTATAAAAGCGTCTTACAAGTCTTTCAAGCGCCTCCGAGAGGCGCCCTACAGGCATCTCTCACAGGCGCTTCTGAGAGACGTCTGACAGGCGGCTCTTAATGGTTCCTCTGGGAGACGTGCGTTGCTCAAACCCTTGGCTCGAGCCCTCCTCCCCCCCCCCCGCCCCTCCTGACCCGACATTGCCCCATGGCCCCGACATCCGAAGGCTATCGCTTAGGACTATGGCAAGCGGCGCCGTCGCGGAAACATTACTCCCGTGAACCCTTAAGCCCTGAAGCCCTGAAGCCCGTAAGCCCTTGAGCCTTGAAGCCCTTAGCCCTTAGGAAGCCCTTCTGCCCTTCAACCCTTCACCCCTTAAATCCGTAGGCCCTCAAGCCCTGAAACCCTTTCATACTAAAACCCTTTTAACCCCTTAACCCTTTGAACCCTTAAGCCATTGCACCCTCCAACACTTCAACCCCTGGACACTTAAACCCGCTACACTTGAAACCCACAAACCCATGAGCCTGTGAACACAAACCCTCAAGTCCTCAAACCCGTCAAACCTTATACCCGAATGCCTCAAAATCTTAAACACTTAAGCCGTGAAGCGCGTAAACCCTTGAGCCCACAAGTCCGTAAAACAAGACACTGAACCTTTGCCACCTAAAGCGCCTAAGCTGAACCCTGAAGCGTCTAAGCTCTCAAACTCTTCACGATCTAAACCCTTAAACCCTAAAGCCCTTAAGCCCTCAAACCCTGAAGCCCCTAAGCAGTCAGCACTCATAACCTAATCCAGACACGATAAAGCCCGTAAACCTTGAAGCCTGTACCTGAAACCCATAAACCCTTTCAACCCCTACCCCGAAAAAAAAATCCCTGGGGATTGTACATGTCGCTTTTGTCCTAGAAGATACAGAGAAAGAGAATGAGAAAGAGAGAGAGAGAGATAGAGAGACAAAAAAAAAAGAAAGAGAGAGAGGGAGAAAGAAAGACAGAGACAGAGCGCGCGAGCTGGACAATGTACGGCCCGCTTGCGGGCGGCGCGGGGGCGCCTCAGCGCCTCGGCTGAAGGCGACCACTGTGTCGAGCGAGCCACCGCTTGCGCAGGCCCGCTTGCCGTCGTCGGTGGTGCGGCTCGGACGGTGACCAGTGCAGAACCCAATATGCCCAAAAATTCTTCGGAGTCTGTAGTCTCTTCAAACACGTGCGCGCCGAAGAACGATGTGCTGTAACCCAGTCTGGTAGATTGAGACGTTCTAGGTGTTGCTCCGCGTTGCGACTTGCCCTCTGCACCCACTCCACTCAAGGCTCCAAAACACACGACGCCCGATCTGTGGACCCATGGCTAGATGCACACTTGTTGTGTTAGTGCCTGATGACCCAGAATAGTCAGCTGCCGTTGCCCTGTGCCTTGGCATCTGGATGATCATGCGCAGCATTCGTCATTGAGCTCGTCGAACCTTATCTTCCAAAGGTTTAAGTTAAGATTCAACCCGTGGGCTCGAGAGGCAAGCCGCCGCGGCCGGTCCCAGCGCGCCCCCTTTGCGCCGGTGTGCACCATCGTTTGGCGGCGTCCTGGCGGCGGCAAGATCGCCTTCGTTAAGCGACTGAGGGCCCTGGCAGGTCCACAAAAATTTCACGGTGATGGGTGTCGGGAGCGGAGGCTTTGACATTTAGCTCGCCCTGGCAGGTCGTCAGACGTGACCGTCGTCATCGGTTGCCCGTGGACACCACAGGCAGCGTCAAGGCCAAGTACCAAGGACAACTTGACAAACTCCCGATGCTGATGATCACTGGCGTCACTAGGGACTGCTGCCTGGAAGTCAGCATGCCCTCCCTGAGGAAGGCACCACGACTACGGGCAGTATAGGTAGCGTCAAGGCCAAGGTCCGCGGTCAGGGCATCTGGAGTGCGGTCGCTCAACTTCCAAGCAGCGCGACGGTGAGTAGTGAACACAGTTGCGGTACATACTCGAGAAGCTGATGCTCCACTCTGCCGCCCCGCGCCGGGCGGCATGCCGCACAGACGTTCAAGCACATCGTCTCTCGGCTACAGGTGGCAAAGGGTCCCAAATCTCTAGATCCTCGGCCGCGCTGGTTTGGCAAATCAGCGTCGCCGTGCGCATGGGATGAGACAGCCTGGAGGGGCAGCATTCCTCCCTCCTCCCTGACAGTAGGACAAGGGAGACCTTCAGACTGTATTTGATATGTGCGGATCCTTCTCCTCCTCCTCCTCATCATCATCAGCACCACCAGCATCATCATCAGCATCATAATCATCCTCCTACACTTCCTCCTCCTCCTCCTCATCATCATCATCAGCATCCTCATCCTCATCCTCATCCTCATCCTCATCCTCCTCATCATCATCATCATCATCATCATCATCAGCATCAGCATCAGCATCAGCATCATCATCAGCATCATCATCATCATCATCATCATCATTATCATCAGCATCAGCATCATCATCATCAGCATCAGCATCATCATCATCATCACCACCATCATCATCATCATCAGCGGCAGCAGCATCATCATCAGCATCATCAGCAGCAGCAACGGCAGCAGCAGCAGCATCATCATCATAATCATAAACAACATCATCATCAGCAGCAGCAGCATGCTCATCATCATCAGCAGCATCATCAGCAGCAGCATCATCACAACCAGCACTTCATGAACATCATCACAAGTAGCATGTGCATCAGCATCGTCATCGTCATCATCATCGCCATCATCGTCATCCTCATCATCTGTATCATCCTCATCATCATCACCACCGTCAACATCATCATCGTCATCATCATGATCACTACCAGCATCACCATTATCATCATGATCACTATCAGCAGCATCATCATCGCCATCACCACCATCATCATCAGCATCATCAGCATCATCGTCAGCATCATCATCATAATCATCATCAGCATCATCATCAGCATCGTCATCATCAGCATCATCATCATCCCCTCGTGCTCCTCCTCCTCCACCCCTTCTTCCATCTCGTCTGCCTCCTCGCCCCCCTCCCCCTCCTCCTGCTGCTGAAACCCTCTTCCTCCTCGCCCACCCCTCCCTGGGACAAGCGCTGGAGAGGGCAAGGAGAAGGCGGTGCCGGCCGAACCAGCGCAGGCGCAGGCGCGCGCGCGCTCGCTCACAGCTTCCACACCCTCGCGACGCCGTCCTCACCACAGATTTTCATGCTGGAGGGAGGTGGGGGGAGGAGGAAGAGGGAGAAGGGAGGACGGGAAGGAGGAGGAGAAGGAAGAGGAGAAGCAGGATAAGCAAGAGGGGCGGCAAAAGGAGGAGCAGGAGGAGCAGGAGAAGAGGAAAGAAGGAGGAGGAGGAGGAGGAGGAAGAGGAGGAGGAGGAGGAGGGGCAGGAGGGAGAGGAGTGGGGGCGAGGAGGAGGAGAACCAGGAGGAGCGGAAGACGACGGGGGGGGAGGAGCGGAGGAGAGGGCGGGGAAGCAGAGCACACGGCATTCCCGGGGCGGGCTCGGAAACACAACCGGGCGTCTTCGCCCCGCTGCGGCCCCACGGGCCCCTCGCGGATCGACCCGGCCCGAGAGGTCACACGTACAGATTGAAGGGGCCCCAGGACACACAAATAAATACACACAAATAAAATTGATTCCCCATATTTTCCCATATCTTCTGGGTTTCTGTCTTCCCCCCCACTTCCCATATTTTCCCATATTTTCCTGGGGATCGACGATTAATTGTGTCTGTGTGTTTTTCCCCCTCCTGACAGATGCGGGTAAGAGGTCTGCGGCAGGTTCGTGTCATGCCGCCTGCGGCGTTGGTTCCCGACATCGCGGGGATCGTTCGACCTTGAACGACCGGCCGTTTCAGGAACGTCAGAGCGTTCAACATCGGCCGATCCTAGGTCGCAGGCGGCGTTCAGCGTTGAACGCCAGCGGCGGGGTCGCCGCCGGTCGACACGACGCGAACCTACTGTACCCATATCGTCCTGGGGGGGTCGAAGAAACGGTCAAACAAAAAAGAGACACGGTGTGGATCTTGGGTCAGAAGCAGGCCTCGCCAGAGGCCTCATTTGCATCCACGTCCACTGCACCTCGGGGCTCCAAGGAAGGTAGCCCAGAAATCCGAGACGCATTGGAACAGAGGTTGGGGGGTGAGATGGAAGTGGAACGCTTCGGTGGCAACTCATGGGAGCCTCCCATACCATGTTGCCTGGTCTTGAAAATCGACGCTAAATCGACGCTAATCGAGGCTAAATCGACGCTAATCGACGCTAACGGACGCTAGATCGGCGCTACCTCATCGACTCCCCGACGCTAATCGACGCTCATCTACGCTACAGACGGAATGGAGAGGGTATACCAGGCTCCCATGCTGAGCTGCCGAGGAACGGCGACCCCCCCGAGAAATTCTTTGTCGGCTTCGTGTTCGCGCCGTGCGTGCGAGCGAGACGAACCCGCTTGCGCGAGCGAGCAAGAGTAGTGTTGAGCCGTTGCCACGGCGAAGTCCACGCAAAAGACTCTGTTCCAACGAAATAGGCCCGCTGTTGTCGCACGGTTGTCCCGTGGATGTCACATGGTTGTCCCGATGATTGTCCCGTGGTTGTTTGGCCGTCCCCATGACTGTCCCGATGGCTGTCCCGATGGATGTCCCGATGGTTTTCACGATGGTTGTCCCGATGGTTGTGCCAATGGTTGTCCCGATTGTTGTCCCAATGATTGGCCCGATGGTTGTCCCAGTGGGTGTCGCGATGGATGTCCCAATGTCCCGACGGTTGTCGCGATGGTTGTCCCGATGGTTTTCCCGATGGTTGTCCCGATGGTTGTCCCGATCGATGGTTGTCCCGATGGTTTTCCCGACTGTCGTCCCGATGATTGTCCCGATGGTTTTCCCGGTGGCTGTCCCGATGGTTGTCCCGATGGTTGTCCCGGTGATTGTCCCGATGGTTGCCCGGATGGCAGATTGACCGATCGGTAGACCGACAAATCGATTGATAGCAAGGGTGATAAATGAAAAGTGAAATATATAACTAGATCGTGATACTGACTGTTTGATCGTGGAACGGGTAGATACATGACAATGCGATCGGTAAACGCATACAGTGTGACATCGACTGGTAAATAGCGGGGTAGATAGGTCCATGCATGGGTTCAGAAATATGTATACATGGATAGTGGGATCGATCGATGGATAGACCGATAAACATTGTTCGGCAAAAAAGGAAGCGGTTGTCCCGATTGTCGTCCCGTCGTTGGCTCCGCCCCCCCCACGCCCAGCCTCCTGATCGGCCTGTGGCCAGTTGGGTAAGATGCATCTGAATTCTGCCGGCATGTTGATGGGGCCGACTGCTCAGGTGACAAACTCTTCATCTGGGGATGAGGAAGCGGCAGCCAGATCAGAGGCAGGATCGGCGGCCGCAGCCGGACTCTGCGCCGGCCTTGCTGGAGGTGATGATCTGGGACGGATTCCCGTTGTTGGCAGCGATGTCGTACACCGCGCCGCCGCCCACGGCTTGCCTGCACGCGGCACTCGCGAAATCCTCGCCGCCGTTGAGCTCGTACCTGCGGATGAAACCGTCGTCGCTGCCAGCCAGGAAAGCGGTGCCATGGCGCACCTGCTGCAACGTCCGCACAGCGCCGCCGAATGGTTGCGTCCACGTTCTCATGATCTCTCCTGTCGCGATGTTCCACAAAATGATCTTGCCGTCCTCGCCGCCGGACAGAAGACGGGTCCCGGTCGCAAAGGCCGAGAACGCTGTCACCTTACCGGCGTGGCCATGAATCTCTTGCAAGACCGTCAGCGTCCTGTAGTTGAAGTAACGGATCACGCCGTTAGCATCACCAGACGCAAAATTTGAGTTTCCTGGCAGCTGGACGACGGCGGTAACCTTCGCCAGAGAAAGCACGCCCGTTTTCAGTGCCTGCTCAGTAGTGCTGAGCGCTTCGGGCGAAGCCATCTCGAGGAGCTGCTTCCGCCCTACGGCGGAAAGGCCCGGATTGTCGGACATGTTTACCGCCACCGCTTTGAGCGTCTCCGCGCGCTGCTGCAACTCCTGCTGCTCTGTCAGCAAGTTGGGTGCCTTGAAGGTGCCGACGCGGTCGGGGCCCCATTGCCAGAACTCGACGAAATCACCTCCAGTGACATACGACGTCTGGTATGTAAAGCCCCCGGCAATGCCGACCACTGGGCCGCTCTTGCTGCTGTCGGGCAGGAGCGTCCTGAAAGCGGGACCACCTTGGACATAATTCCACGCCGTCGCCGTCCCCGACTGCTCCCCAGTGAGCGCATGGATGCCGTCGGCCGACGGAGCCACCACCATCACGGGCGTCTGCGTGCCGAAGCTCATCAGCGTCTCGCCTGTCGAGTCCTCCTCCTCCTGCTCCTCCTCCTTCATGCGTTCTCCTTACACATAATTCCTCCGCGTGGCACCCCAAGGCCGCTCAGAAGGGCGGCATGGGCGTTTCGCCTGAGACTTCCTCGCCATTTTCAACCATGAAGCTTCAAGTTTGCAACAATTTCACAAATGGATGGCAGATCGCTTTCAATATGTGGCTCTCGCATTAGCGCCACGCACATCCGTCATAAAAATTACATGAGTTTCACGGATGGTGGGCGGGTGATTTTCAATATGTAGCTTCAGAATTGGCCCCGCGCACATCCGTCTTCACAATGTCAAGACTTTCACGGAGTGAGGACAGATGGTTTTCAAAATGTTGTTCTCGCCCCAGCGCCGCGCACATCCGTTGAACAAAGTTCCCAGAGCTTCACAGATGAAGGGAGGGGAGGCTCGTTTTCAAAATGTGACTCTCACATGGGCGCTGCGAACATTCTTTTTCAGAGTTTGCAGCATTCTCAAATACTCTCCTGGCTAACGTCCCAGCAACGGCATTTTGTCACAATGTCGGACTGTCAGGGCGCAACAGTTCGGTTGATTCGTGGTGTTACTCTGTGTCCCTCAATGGTTCTGGGGGTACCTGTAGTCCGGGAGCATACATGTAGTCCGGGGGAGGGGTACCTGTACTCCGAGGGGGGTACCAATAGTCCAGGGTGGGATGCCTGTAGTCCGGGGGAAGGGTACCTGTAGTCCGGGGGGGGGGGATCCTGCAGTCTGGGGGAAACGCGTGTTCACGCGTCAACGCACGCGTGGATGTAGTCCTGTGGGGGTACCTGTACGCCGGGGGGTGTATTTGTAGTCCGGGAGGGGGTACCTGTAGTCCTGGGGGGGGCTACCTGTAGTCCTGGGGGGGTACCTGTAGTCCGGGGAGGGGGTACCTGTAGTCTGGGGGGTACCTGTAGTCCGGGGACCCAGAACTATTGAGGAATGCAGAGTAAACGCCCTGGAATGGCTTTCTGGCACGGTTCAGGGTCGTCAACACGCAACGGTAACGGTGAATCGCGGCGCTGAAGTCCCAGGACTGGTGTTCTGGCACAGCTCAGGATGTTCCAACGGTTACTTTCCAACGGGGCACTTCCTTCAGTGACGATGAGACCGTGTATACGGACATATGAAGGGGGAGCTTGGAGGGAGGGTTTATTGCAATATCGTTGATGAGTCTTAGGCTTGCACTTGTCCTTCCTCCTCCTCCTCCTCCTCCCCCTCCTCCCCCTCCTCCTCCTCCTCCTCCTCCTCCTCCCAACTCCTCCCTCCTCCTCATCGTCCTTCTCCTCCTCCTCCTCCTCCTCCTCCTCCTCATTATCCTGTTCCTCCTCCTCCTAATCCTCCTCCTCCACTTCCTCGTCCTGCTCCTCCTGCTCCTCGTCCTACTCCTCATTATCGTGTTCCTCTTCCTCCTCCCTTCTCCTCCTCTGGGGCACCTTATGTATTAGATTTGGGGTGCAGCGCAGGCCTGTGCGAATCTCCCACACCCACGCGCGGTACTCTGCCCCACTGGACGCATTCCCGTAGCCGCCCGAGAAAGCGCGAGAGCCGCCGTAAATGACGGCGGTGCTGAACACGGCCTTGCCCGTGCCAGTGTCGAACTGAGAGGTCACACTCATCCCGCAGTCTGGGACCTCGTCTGGCTTGCACGCTGAATCATCCGGCGACTGGGCGCATTGCTCGCTGATGTTAACGCACTCACGGCATGCCTCGCAGAATGCATTTCCGGCCCGGCAGCATTCCACCTCTGGCATCACGCAGCATGTCTCGTTGGCCTCTGATGGCGTAGCCTCTGTTGCTTCGGTTCTGAAGTCGCACGTGTGCTTCGGGCAAACCCAACTGCTGCACATCACGACGCAACACTTGTCCATGCAGTCATCCTCCCCTTTGCAAGTGGTGTCAGCACTGCCGTTATTCGCCTTCATGGCGTCACCACAAATGACGTTGCCACATGTTGTTTCTGGATAACAGACGTCGGCGCAAGTTTTCCCAACGCAATAAAGCGATGGCACCGATTTCTCGTAGGGAACTTCACTCAGAAAGGAAGTGCTGCATTGCGCCGCCTCGAGGAAAGGACCAGCGGTGGCTGTGAAATTGCAGGGTTCGCTCTGGCACGCGGCCTTGATACCAGGAATCTGTTGCAGACGAGCTGTGATGACCTTGCTGACATGGGTTTCCTCCAAACGACGGTAGAACTCATTGATATCGTCATATTGGAAAGGTGTAGCCGTCACAAGCGCCGTGACACCGTCTGGGGTGTTCATCAACTCTACATCGCTGGTGCTCTGCGTCATTGCCCAACTACCTTCGATCGCGATTGCCTCCGAAATTGCCTTTTCGACATTACCAGCCAATTCTGAACTGCTGGTGAGGTTGGCATGGCTCAGGCCAGGTATATCAACCCGTATACAGATCTCGCCTCGCTTCTGCTCATAAGACCAGCCTTCTGGCAGCTCTCCTTGAGAGGCGGGGAGTTGCCCACATCCACCGCCTGGGAACCGACGTCCAGGTGCTCCAGCGGGCGGTGGATATGGATATAGGTTGGCCCCCATGGGCCCGAATGTATCCATATCCACCGCCTGTGGAGGTCCGCGAAGATCGGTCCTCCAGGCGGTGGACGTGGACAAATCCCCGCCTCGGACTCCTTCTGGGGACGATATGTCTACAGTCAACCCGCATAGATAGGATGAACGACCTTCCAAGGCTACCCGCGCATCCTTGTCCTTCGGCACACCCTTGGTTCGGCGGCGGGCGAGGGGGGGAAGTGAGAAGGAGAAGGCCCTCTCAGAAGTCTCGGAAGCCCCCCAGCCTTCTGAGAAGCTTCCTAAGCCTTCCCCGAAGACACTACAGTGGGGACTCGGCCACAAGAAACCTCCGCAAGAAACCCAACCCTGAAATACGCGATTTGTTCAGTGAAAATCCGCATCTGTCGATCGAAAATCGTCAAGATCTGATTGGGAGCCCATCGAAATCCAAGAAACCCAGGGCACCCTGGCAAAATCCAACTGGCTTCTTGGCACGCGCCCCCACTGTATGCCTCCCCCGAAGACACCAAACTTTTCAGAGGGCGCGAGGGCTTCTGAGAAGTCCCGCCGCCTTCTGAGAAGGCCTTCTCCGGCTCGCTTCCCCCCTTGCTCGCCGCCCAGTGGTAGCTGTCGCTGGCCACCCCCCGTTCGAGAAAAACGTCAACGTGGCCTTCCGAGGCCCCTCGCATCCTCACCGCGCATCCTCCACTGTGCGGCTTGGCCGTCGTTCGGAAGGGGGGGGGGCGCGGGAAGGACGCGACCCCCGACGGGGGGGACCCTCGGCTGCGGCTTCGGCTCGTGCCGCGGGCGCGGGCGGGGCGACGTGTCGCGCGAGGTCGAGGACGCGTCCGCGGCCCGTCCGCGGCCAGATCGGGCGGCCCTGCTGCTCCCCGACTCGCGGTGGCCGGCGGGATCGTCCCGCGGTTGTCCCGCGAAGTGCCCCGTGGGACGTCCCGCGGGTGTTGCCCCGTGGTTGTCCCGTGGGCTGCCCCGCGGGCTGCCCCGTGGGCTGCCCCGTGGTGTCTCCCGCGGCTGTCCCGTGGCTGTGGCACGGAGGCCGCGGGCACTGCAGGCAGGCAGCGGGCAGGCGGGTGGACACGAGGCGAGGCCAGAGGCGCACCAGCAGGTGGGCCAGCGAACGCCATGAGAGAATGATCCTGAAGGCCTCGCGCGGCAAGATTCCAAATATTCCCCGAGACTACCCAGGTGAAGAACCTTGTGTTTTCCTGGTTTTCCGAATATTCCAGATCTTCCCAGAGACTACCCAAGTGAAAAACCCTGTGGTTTCCAAACATTTCCAGCTATTCCAGATCGCCCCAGAGACTACCCAGGTAAACAAAGCATGTGTTTTCCAGAGGGTCCAGGCATTCCAGGTACCCCCAGGGACTACCCAAGTGAAAAACGCTGTGTTTTCCAGATTTTCCAAATATTCCAGATCGTCCCAGGCTACCCAAGTGAAAACCATGTGTTTCTTGATTTTCCAGATATTCCAAAGATTGTCAGAGACTACGCTGAGCTTGCAGTGCGAGATCTGGAATGCTTGGAAAATCTGGAAACACATGGTTGTTCACTTGGGTGGGAAGATCTGGAGTACCTGGAAAATCTGTGGAAAAAAACATGTTTTTTCACTTGGGTAATCCCTGGGGAAATATGGAATATCTGGGGAATCTGGAAACACATGGTTGTTTCACCTGGGTAATCCCTGGGAAGGCCTGGAATACCTGGAAATTCTGGAAACACACATGTTGTTTCCACTTGGGTAGTCTCTGGAAAGATCTGGCATATCCAGAAAAACTGGAAAACACATGGTTTTTCACGTGGGTAGTCCCTGAGAAGATCTGGAAGATTTGGAACATCTGGAACACGCAAGGTTTTTCACCTGGGTAGTCTCTGGGACGATCTGGGATATCTGGAACATCTGGGAAACTGAAGGTTTTGGAGAGAGAGGGAGAGAGAGAGGGAGAGAGAGAGAGAGTGAGAGAGAGAGAGAGAAACAACACAAAAGGAACAGCAGCAGTCGAGGATGGGGAGGCGAAAACGTATGATGACAGGTGGCGACCACATACATACATACATACATGCATGCATACATACATACATACATACATACATACATACATACATATGTACATACATATGTACATACACACATGCATACATACATACATACATACACACACACACATACATACATACATACATACATACATACATACATACATACATACATACATACATACACACATATATGCATACATACACATACATGTATATACATATATATTACATTACATTAAATTGCATTACATATTTCGTACATTACATTGCATTACATTGCACGATGTCAGATTACATTATATTATATAAATAAGTATATATATACGTTACATTACATTGCATCAATTATATTACATTACACCCGTACATACATACATGCATACACTCATATGTGTGTATGTAAGCATACATCTATCGTATACGAATGCATGAGGCTCACACACGCAGTAAGGAACATATGAAGCGTTCTGGGGAGCACCATCCTTAAACATGTCGTAAGCACTGGTTTTACACTATAGCTAGGAAGGAGTCGGTTTTTAATTGTAAAAAACGTATGCGCGTTGTGCGGGTGACGCTCGGAGAAGAGTGAGAGCTCATGGCGGAACCCACATATGCATACGAAGTAAAAGAGCCCCAGGCGAATTTGAGGAGTTGGGAGAATTTGGCGAGCTGAAAGAGTCCGCCGACCCCTGCTTGCCGGGGACCTTCCTCCCTCGCCTGGGGTCTGACGTCCGATTAGGGGAGGGGAGGGGCTGGAGGGGGGCTCTCCGAGCTCATGAACGCTCCCCCGGGGCCTCGGGAGCCTCCACTTATGCACTCTGCATCCCCGCGCTGGAACCGCGTGTTCTCACATGTCCACGCCACCCAGAGGGGTATCTAACATGGTGGTCCTGAGCTGGAACCACATGCTTGTACGTGTCCAAGCCACCCAGGTGGGTACCTAACATGGTGGTCCCGAGCTGGAGTCACGTGTTTGCGCATGTCCACGCCACCCAGAAGGTTGTCTAACATTATGGTCCTGCGTTGGAACCGTATGTTTTCACTTGTGCAGGCCGCCCAGGTGGGTATCTAACATGGTGGTCCCGAGCTGGAGCCACGTGTTGCCACTCAGGGGGTCTCTGATATAGGCCTCCTGGATCCTTCCTGGAACTCGGAACGGAACGTCGAGAGTTCATTTGTATGCTGTATCGATTCGTTGACTTGTTGGCCTCCAGGCGCCTCTGGGCGTTCCTGGGTCCTCCTGCGCCCCAGACGACCGCATGTTAGATATCCCCCTGGGTGGGCTGGACCAATGTTTGTACGTGTGCAGGCCACCCAGGGGGTATCTAACATGGTGGCCCCGAGCTGGAACCATATGTTTTTACATGTCCAGGTCACCCAGGGGGATATCGAACATGGTTGTCCCGACCTTGAACCACGTGTTTTCACGTATCCAGGCCGCCCAGGGGGGTATCTAACATGATTGTTCTGAGCAAGGGCCACGTGTTTTAACGTGTCCAGGCTACTCAGGGATGTATCTAACATGGTTTCCCGAGCTGGCACCAAGTGTTTTAGGTGTCCAGGCCATCCAGGGGGGATATCTAACATGGCTGTCCCGAGCAAGGACCACGTATTTCAACGTTCCGTAACGTGTCCACTTGGCATGTCCCGCGGTGCGTCCCCATGGCACGTCCCCTGGCACGTCGCCTGGCGCGTCCCTTGTGACGTTCCGCGGCGCGTCCTGCTGACATGTCCCCCTGTCAATTAGCTCTGGGGCGGCTACTATGTGCTCAGGCAGCTCGAGCATAAGATCCAGCTCAGTTCGGTCAGGACTCGGATGGAAAGGAGGACTCGATCCACAACGCTATAGAGCACAATCGTGGCATGACACATCGCAATTCAGCACGGCGCAGCACAGCACAGCACTCGGCACGGTACATCAAAACCGATGCATTCAGCATTGCACTCACCCGTCGCCCAATCGGGTGTCTTTGAAGCGTCGCCGTGCCTTACACTTCTATATATTCCTTTCCGGGCTCGTGGGTCGATGTTTTTGCTACCAGGTCCCTGCGGCACAACATGGCCCCAGATATTACAGAGCCTGTGGGCATCGTACGGCAGGTTCGCGTCGTGTCGACCCCGGCGTTGGTTTCTGACACCGCGGGGATCGTTCAACCTTGAACGATCGGCCGCTGCCGCAACGTCCGATCGTTCAACATCGATCGATTCTGGGTCGCCGGCGGCGTTCAACCTTGAACGCCCGCGCTGGGGTCGCCGCGGGTCGACACGACGCAAACCTACCGTATGCCCGTCCTGTGGCGCACCGCTTCCCGAGCGGCAAGGCCAGCAAGCACCCGCCGCGGAGCCCATGACATGCATAAGGAGGTCCCGGAGCGCGCGTCGCCCCATGAGGAGGAGGAGGAGGAGGAGGAGGAGGAGGAGGAGGAGGAGGAGGACGAAGTAGAAGTGTGTTGGGGGTGGCGTCGGGCGATATCTCCATGGACCCCCACCCCTCGGCTACACGCAAGAGTGACCCTGGGTAAGAGTGACCTTCGGTGCGCGGCTGTTGGGGGGCCGCGGGGAGGCCAGATCCAGGCGCGCTGGCCGCTGCTAGCGCCTCGCGTTCGGCCAGCTGGGGGCCCATCTGTGCCCGCACCAAGAGTCACTCCGGCGAAAGGCCACTCTTGCGTCTAGTCGAACCCCATCCTACCCCCCAAAGGTCCCCCGAGGCCCCCGGCCCCCGAGCGCGGAGGCGGACGCGCGCGGCAGCGCACATGGATCATCGACAGATCCAAAAAGTAGATGCTTTCGGGCTCTGGGGGCCCTCGCAAGGCCCCAGGACTGTCAAGAGAAGGCTCGGGATGAAAAACTGGGGACAAGGCTGGAACCTCCAGGGACCCCGTACAGGGCAGTTTTAAATACATAGGATGTTTTTGTTTAATATCGGAGTTTGAATACATGATTAATTTACTAATAGATCAATGCATAAATTTATCATTGGTTTTAAAACTGAATCTCTTTATTTTAAATACATGATCCGCACGCGGAGCATGTATTGAAAACGGCACTGTATGGAAAAAGGCAGGAGAAGGTCCCCTGACGCGGGCAAGTGTTGCGGGCCCACGCGGGGCGCGCACACGCGAATAGTGGCTGAGGAAGGGAAGCGAACTCTATACACACCACACCACACCAGCGTCGTCCCCGACCCGCCACTGGTAACGTATACGTTCCAGTTTCCGATGAGGAGAACGTCGCTGTCGAGCACGCCCGTGAACCTTGGCTTATTTGTCTGAATATACGGTGTAGCGCCCAAGCCCCCCAAGCTTTCTTGGCGAGGCCTCCGGGTTCCAGGCCGTGCGGCGTCAAGCAGCACCAAGGATTTCAAGAGCGAGCCCAGTGAGAGAGAAACTCAGGGTTCCGGCCACAACCACCACCTCTTCAAGGGGCGCGGGGGTGTAAGGGTGCGATTGCTCATCGCATGGCGAAATTGAAGATGGCACACAGATGAAGACAGCGAAACAGACGACAGGATATGAACGGCCTGACATGAGCTTGAAGATGAGCGTGGCTGTGGCGATGGTGGCCAGAACTTGCAATCGCAGTTGTGGTGGCGGCCATGAGGGACAAGTAATCACTGTAACTTGGGAAGAGGTTCGGGCAGCTGACTGTGGTCATGAACATGGGTGTACGAACCCAAGTGCAAGCACATGTCATTGCGCATGCAGCACACAAGCGCCACACAGACACCTCGACTAACCCAAACAAAGCATGAACTGGAGAAGGGAAACGAGCAAGAGGCAGGTCTTGATTATAAGATGCTGACCCCCTGGCGAGAGGAACCACAGACTATGCCAAGCGGGGTGGATGGGTGTCGCCGGTTCGGCCAGGGCTGCGCTGGTGTAGTGGAACCTCCCCCTCGTCCTCCGGCACACCCTTACCTCCCCTGCAGTCGAAGCATGGCCACAGGAGAGTGGGCTAAGAGCAAGGCCCAGGGCCCAGGAGAGGTGCCCCAAACGAAGAACACTCCGAGGTTGGAAGCCCAAAAACGAAAAACATAGGGGCACCCCTTCAAAGCTCGGTTAGTCCTAACCGTCGTGCCAGCCGTGCTGCTCCGAACCACTCCACGGTTCCGAGGGGGGAAGAAGCACGTCGAGGGGGGAGAGCGAGGCATGAGCTCCTGAGCTGCTGCCGTTAATGTCGCCGTCGTCGGTCGTGGTCGATGCCGCGTCTGCTGTGGTCGTCGCCTGCAGGCGGCGGCCCTGATCTGGGCCGAATGTGAGGCCCCCGGCTGGCATCATCTGATATAAGCCCTCTGACCGCTTCCAATAGTCGGAGGGCACCAGCTATACACCTACACCGATCCTGACCAGGCCCACCCTTGGCCCAGGATCGGTGTATACACCCCTTCTGGCCTGGCGAGGAAGGCATGTACACCGATCTTGGGCCCACCATGGGCCTGGCCAGGATCGGTGTAGGTGTACAGTTGGCGCTCTCCGAAATAGGAGCATGCCAACTTCATGCTCGTCGAGTAGTCGGCATCCGCCATGTATCTATCAACGACCTTCCGCTCCTCGGCCGAATCACCCGCCGACCCCCTTGCGGGGGCATTGGGCTGCGAGGATGTGTGTTCAGCAACTGGACAGCTCAGTTCTCATCAGCGCGCGGATTTCGCAACACTGCACGATCCCTAGAAGCTCAGCAAGTTGGGCGGCCATCGTCCTCAAATTCCCAAGAAACAGGACAAGTCCAACCCACAAACACGTGAGGTGACGTACATGTGTCTCCAAAAACGCGCGAAGTGCGCGAAGGCGGTGGATCAACCTACGCACGATCATCCTCGAGGCTACTGAGGATTCTTTGTGCAAGTACGCACACATATTCTACAACACACACGCATCAGAAATGATGTAAACCATCCGACCCTTCGACGTGTGTGAGACGCTGTCTTCGTCGTCGTCGTCGCCAGTCCCAAAGAGATTGATGAGCAAAGAAAGGGAAGTCCGTGATTAAGTCGATTCGCTCATTTCTCCCCGTGGGATAGGGGGGTCCTGGGGGGAGTCTTGGGTCTGACTACCACCCCCCTGGTGGCCTGGCGGGCCACGGGGGCGGTCGCCACCGGGGGTCCTGGGGGAGGTCCCGCCTCGCCCGTGGTAGATGGGCTCGCCATTGCTCGGACGTCCATTTCCCGTGCATTGTTTGGTTTCGTGCGTGTTTTGTTGTTGCTCGATGGTCCAGGATCGTCCTCGATGGTTCTCGCCGAGAAAAAACGCACACGCCCCAGCGATGCCAGAGAGGGGGCGATGGTCCCAGGTCAGAATGCTACCGCCCCCCGTCCTCCTCCTCCTCCTCCTCCTCCCACTCCTCTTCCTCCTCCTCCTCCTCCTCCTCCTCCTCCTCCTCTTCCTCCTCCTCCTCCTCCTTCTCCTCCTCCTCCTCCTCCTCCGAAGGGGGGCGCCAGCGGGGGTCCCCGGGGGAGGTCTCGGAAGTCCCACAGGGGAGGTCCCGCGATCCTGGGTCAGAACTCACCGCTCCTCCTTGGGCTACCGGCGGGTCACGTTGTGGCGTCGTCGCTTACAGTCATCGGCCTGGCCTAAGGAACGATACATAAGGAACGAAGCCCCTTTTTTTACCCCAAGGGATAACGCATAAGGAACGATAAAGAATAGATAACGCACAAGGAACCGTAAAGAACGCATGTGAAACCTAAGGCACGACCGAGCCCCTTGTGAAAAGAAAGTGTTCCTTACTCAAGCCGCTCACTGTGCACCCGCTCGCCTGCATCCGCCCACCCGCGCAGCCGCGCGCGGCGCTGCGGCACGCGCGGCAGGGCCTGTGCAGCCAACGGGCACCGCGTGAGAGCGCGGCGCGAACACGGTGTGCTGGCACCCGCGAGCCCCGCCGCGCCCCTTTACCCCTGCCGCCTTGAGATTCCTACCTCTACAGCTGTACAGTCGGGGCCTTGACCTAAGGAACCCAAAATAAGGAACGAGGCCCCTTTGGTCCATAAGTTAAACTTCGATTCCCGATCGAAAACATACGGAAAACCCGAGGCAAGCTGCGAAACACTTAAGGAACGCGGAGCCCCTCCCCAACGAAAAGGGTTCCTTCTTCAGGGCCCCGACTGTAAACAGGATGTCGCTTCGGCGCCAAAGTGTTCGCAAGGAAAAACGCCCCCGCAGCTCCCGCTTCCGGCGCGGGCGCGCCCCGGCAACGCCCCCCCGGCAGCGTGCGCGGGCGCTCCAAGCACCCAAGCATCTGCGAGGGACCATGTTCCAGCAGCCCGCGGCGTGCACTCCAGCACCCAGTTTTGCGGGCATGATATCTATATATATATATATATATATGTATTCAGGGCGTCTTGGACTCTGCTGGAAGAGGCGCCACCAGGCCGAGGCGCACTGGATATGGACAAAAATCGAGCCCCAGGGGAGGGGGGCAGATATCTGTCCATATCCTGTGAGCCTCAGTCTTCTGGGGAAGGGAGCCCGAAACTCAGAGCTGCAGTGGATGCCAGCGAGGGACCATGCTCCAGCAGCCTGCGGCGTGCACTCCAGCACCCAGCTTTGACCAGGACCTCCTCCCCCTCCCTCTCCTCCTCCTCCTCCTCCTCCTCCTCCTCCTCCTCCACCTCCTCCTCCTCCTCCCCTCCTCCTCCTCCTCCTCCTCCTCCTCCTCCTCCTCCTCCTCCCTCCCCCTCCTCCTCCTCCTCCTCCTCCTCCTCCTCCTCCTCCTCCTCCTCCTCCTCCTCCTCCTCCTCCTCCTCCTCCTCCTCCTCCTCCTCCTCCCCCTCCTCCCCTCCTCCTCCTCCTCCTCCCTCCTCCTCCTCCTCCTCCTCCTCCCCTCCTCCTCCTCCTCCTCCTCCTCCTCCTCCTCCTCCTCCTCCTCCTCCTCCTCCTCCTCCTCCTCCCCTCCTCCTCCTCCTCCTCCTTCCTCCTCCTCCTCCTCCTCCTCCTACCTCCTCCTCCTCCTCCTCCTCATCCCCCCTCCTCCTCCTCCTCCTCCTCCTCCTCCCTCCTCCTCCTCCTCCTCCTCCTCCTCCTCCTCCTCCTCCTCCTCCTCCTCCTGCCAGCTCTTCGACCAGAGGAAGAGCGCTCCAGCAGCCCGCGGCGTGCGCCCTCCCCAGCACTACGCGCCTACACCGAGCGCCGAGCGCTCCAGCAGCCCACGCGGCGTGCGCTCCAGCACCGCTTGACGGCGCGCAGAAAGGGGGTAGGGGGAGGGGGGGAGGCTTCTTAGAAGCACCCCTGCTTCTTAGAAGGCGCGGGCCTTATCTATAGATGTAAGGCCGGCGCCTTCTAAGAAGCAGCCTCCCTCTTAGAAGCCCTCCCCCCTCCCTCCACCCCCTTGCGCGGGCCGCCACACCGCCGCATAGTGATGCTGAGCACGGGCGCTCGAAAAAACCCGGCCTCAACCGGCGCAGACGAACCCACGCAGTCAACACGGTGATGGCATTGGGCAAGGGAACCTTCGGCAAGGAATCCAGGGTCTGGGAGCCAGCGGAAAGCCACTCGTGGACTGGCCAGGGGTATCGCCGCCGCCCTCGTCAGATGAGGAACCCTCCAGCTCGCCATCGCTCGGACGTCCATTCCCTGTGTTTTTTTTTCGGTTCCGTGCGTGTTGTTTTCGCCAAACGGTCAAGGATGCTCCATGATGGTCCTCGCCGAAGGAAAAATGCACACGTCCGAGCGATGCCAAGCCAGGGTCTGAAGAGCCTCCTGGGCACGTTCCTTAACGCGAACGCCCCCACCGCACTATCACTCCCCAAAAAAACGCTCCCCGGACCTGCAAGGACGGGGCGGGAAGGCGGGAAGGCGGGAAGGGTCGGAGCGCGAAGCGTTGCAGAGAGAGAGAGATATATATATATATAGAAAGAGAGACAGAGAGAAAGAAAGAGAGAAAGAGAGAGAGAGAGAGAAAGATATATATATATATATATATATATATATATATATACAGTAAAAAACAAAAGAGAGAGGAGCCAACAACACAGGAGGAGTGGAAGAACGAGCCGTGGCACCGCCGCGCTCCTGGAGCCAGGTTCTCTCTCGTGTGGCGAAGCAGTCGCGTGTGCACGCACTCCTGAGGCCGCGATCCCTCGTGACAGGTGCATCGGCGCACCCGAGGCCGCGAACCCCTCCTAGACAACGAGGGCCTCACGCTGCCGAGGCGACGGACACACCGTAAAACGTATTCCGGCAGAGCACCTTAGTACAGTCGGCCCGTATCATCTGGCCATCGCTCGGACGTCCATTCCCTGTTTTTTTGTTCGGTTTCGTGCGCGGTTTTTCGCCAAATGGTCAAGGATGCTCCTCGATGGTCCTGGCCGGAGGAAAAATGCACACGTCCGAGCGATGCCAAGTCATAAGGATGCGCGATAAGGATGCAAGCGCCTTGGACGCCCCTTGCGAAGCTTTTCGAGTGGAGCGCGGCCAACGGAAATGGCCAAGGATGGACCGAGGGGGCAAGGATGCAAGGGCACCCTTGGGAAGGATGCCCGTCCTTGACTGTACCGAGGCCACGAACACACTGTTAAAACATATCCCAGCAAGGCACCTCTATCAGTCGATCAGCAAAGGTGACGAGGCGGATTGGGGAGCAGGGGGTCGGCTGGTGGCAGGGGCGAGAACATGGCCACGGGTCATGTACACTCTCGTGTCGTTTTCCCATCGGCGGCGAGCGAGGGGGGGAAACGAGAAGGAAAAGGCCTGCTCAGAAGGCTCCGAGGTCCCCCGACCTTCTGAACAGGCTTCCAAGCCCTCCCCGAAGACGAAGCAAACTTCTTAGAAGGCGCGAGAGCGCCTGAGAAGTCCCGCCGCCTTCCGAGAAGGCCGTCTCCTTCGCATTTTTCCCCTCCTCGCTCGCTCGGCCGATGCCAGGGATCGTGGCCGTCGGGACCAAAAACACGTAGCCGGCACATCGAGGCGAGAGCACGAGGCCCGAACGAAGTGTCAGGTCGGGCACGTCCAGCCCCACAGGCGGATCTTGGACGAAAGACAAAAAATATGCAAAACGAATACCCCCAGGTGGTCAAACATATTCAAAACAAAAATCGTCCCCAGATTATGTCTTGCCTATGTTTGGAATACTCCTCCTGCAGAGGGACGGGCCCGACTTAAATAATGAGGTGTGAGGAAGTCTCGGGCGACACGTCTGCCAGACCTGGCCACATCGAGCCGCATCGCCGATGCATCGGCGATGCGGTGCGATCCTCCGACCCCATCTGCTCCGACCCCATCTAGGAGGCCGTCTCCTTCGCATTTCCCCCCCTCGCTCGCCGCCGATGCCAGGGATCGTGGCCGTCGGGACCAAGCACGCAGCCAGCCGGCATCGAGGCGAGAGCACGATGCCCGAACGAAGTGTCAGGTCGGGCACGTCCCCCCCATAGGCGGATCATGGACGAAACACAAAAAATATGCAAAAAACATACCCCCAGGTGGTCAAACATAGTCGAAACAGAAATCCTCCCCAGAGTATGCTTCGACTACTTTTGAAATACTCCTCCTGCTGAGGGACGGAAAACAACAATTACACAAACCATACCCCCAGATGGTCAAGCATAGTCGAAACAAAAATCCTGCCCAGGTTATGTCTTGGCTGTTTTTTTGAATACTCCTCCTGCAGAGGCACAGGCGGAGCTTGGACGAAAGACAAAAATATGCAAAACGTACCCGCAGGTGGTCAAACGTAGTCAAAACAGAAATCATCCCCAGATTATGTTTTGATTATTTTTGTTGGAATACTCCACAGGCGGATCTTGGACGAAAAACAAAAAATATGCAAAAAAATACCCCCAGATGGCCAAACCTAGTCAAGACAGAAAACCGTCCCCAGAGTATGTCTTGCCTACTTTTGGAACACTCCTCCTGCAGAGGGGCGGGCCCGACGTAAAGAATGAGGTGTGCGGAAAAGTCTCGGGCGAAACGGCTGCCGGGCCTGGCCATATATCGGGCTCCCCGCCCCCCCCCGGTGGAACTCTTCTCCGGTCTTCTCTGCGGACCACTGTCGGACCCCTCTAATATTTGTTTTTTCTTTCTTTGCTGATGGCTATGCTAGAATACTAGCAAAACCCCTAATAAGGACGCGCGGTAAGGGCGCAAGACCCTTGGAAGCCGAAGTTGGGATGTTTTGGGGCGGCGGACGACGAAGACCTCAAGGACGCAAGAGCAAGGATTAGCAAGGACGCAAGGGTACCCTGAGCAAAGTCGCGCGTCCTTATTAGGGTTTTTGACTGTAGAATAGCTGCCGTAAACTACACCTCGGAAGACCTAGGGCAACGGATCCTATACTCAAAGATGGCGCTGCGGTGTGTGATCGGGCGCTGCATCACTCGAGACAAAGCCGAAGCGGGACAACGGCCCTCGAACTGGCACGCGATCAAACCTGACGCGATCGAGACGAGATCAGGGAACAAAAAACCCAACACATCCGAAGAGAAAGCTAGCCAGCACCTCCAAGATCGGCCCAACCAGCGCGATTGCGATGGTCCTGCTTATGCCTGCTTGATGTCGTGCTCTATGCTCAACGTCGCTTCTGTGTGTCAGATGCTGTCAGTCTGGAATATCCGTGATGTAAGTCAGGAGGTGCGGGCGCACTCCTGAGGCCACGATCCCACACGAAAGGTAGATCGGCGCTCCCGAGGCTGCGGTCGGGACCTTTTGCTTAGCGTGTCGCGGGGGCGGACCCGGCGACACGCTATGCGCTGTAAGCGGATGGCGTGTCGCTCCGCTCCGCGGGGCGGGAGGCTGGGAAAAGCTCGGGACGTCGATGCATGGGGACTGGGAAGTGGATAAAGTGTCGCGCCGAGGAGTGGTGGGCCAGGGCCGGCGGAGCGACACGCTGACACAAAATTCCTGACCGCTCACGCTGCCGAGGCCACGATCGGTCGGAAAAAACTGCTGATCCGCGCTCCGAATCCGCCAACCAGCCTGCCAGCCATCCACCCTATCGGCCCGGCTTCCGGCCTGCCCGCAGGCCAGCCTACCAGCAACCATCTAGCCAGCCTGCCAAACGGCCAGATGCCAGTCTGCCAACCAATCAGCCGATCAACCAAGAAAACACGCCCAACAACCAGCCCGTCCACGCAGTCAATCGAGAGGGCTGCGGCGGCAGGGTGCGAAGCCCCTCGGAGGTTCCGGGTGAACTTGGATGCAGAGGGGGGGAAGCTGATCGGCTTTGCTCCACTTTATACCCTTCGACACCCTTGCGCAGGGAACACGTACAACACAAGCAAATTAATGAGAGAAAGCGTAGGAGGAGTTTTTTCTAGGCTGGTCTGGGATGAGGCTCAAAGACTAGGACGAGCAGTATGAAGTGATAACAAATCAGAAATCCCACATCGCCCGTTGTACATGTCCCCCCAACCTGATCATGAAGGGAACCCCTGGCTCGAGCGGAACGGCCGATGTTACCGACATGCCATCTTCGGCTTCGGTAGCCTCAGGGACGTTCAACAACCCGTTCATCGTGAACTTGGCAAACTTGTTCTGGATGGTGAAATCAAACGCGTTGCAGGCACTGTCGACAATGACCGTACCATCCTCGACAGTTGAGAAAACCGCCCTCACCAGAAAGTCAAACAAATAGCCATCGGTTAACAACTTGTAGTCAGCCATGGCGTCATAACAGCCTTCTAATCGATGGTCATCGCGCGACACATTTGTCACGTTACCCAGACTGACATTATCTTCCTCACCCTCCGCGGCACCCTGCGCTGCATCCATCGCCGCTTCCTCCTCCTGCACAGACCATAAAAAAACTACATATACAGAAAACTATCTGGGGTCCGCGCAAGTTTCTGGATATGGCGACCTATCAGACCACCCCAAGCCAACCCGAAGACCCGAATTTCGGGTTGGGGGGGGTACAGGTTCCATCTGTGTTTTCGCAATGTTCCTCGACCGCCCCCCCCACTGGAAATGGAGGGCAAATGGAGGCCTTCGGGTTGGGTTGGGATGGGTTTTCTGTGGCAACTCATGGGAGCCTCCCACACCATCTTGTCGACTCTTGCGAATCGACGCTAAATCGACGCGAATCGACGCTAAATAGACGCTGATCGACGCAAACCGACGCTAGATCGGCGCCATCTCATCGACTCCCAGACGCTAATGGACGCGAATCGACGCGAATGACAAAATTTCTGAGGGCAAACAAGGCTCCCATGATTTGCTACCGAAGGTGTTTGGTGGGTGGTGAGGAACTGCGCTGGACCCTCCCCCTCCCTGGCACGCGGAGCACGCCAGGGGGTCAGCGCTGGGGAGGCGCCGCCGGGGGGGGGGGCTCCGGGGCCGATCAGGGCAGTCCGCGCGGACCTCCGAGAGTCTTGTGCTCATGCTGTTTCTTCTTCGGTCCCCTGCCACCTTCTCCTTCTCCTTCTCCTCCCGCCTGTCGTCGATTCTGTCACGGTCCCGGATTCTCTCGGCGTCCGCCCGGATGACCCGCTCCACCGTCCGGACGCCCGCCCGCTGGTACGCGGCGCCCACGCTCCTCGAAGCGGCGCCCACCGCCAGCACCTCGCTCCCTCGCCCTGGTCTCTCTCTCTCTCTCTCTCTCTCTCTCTCTCCTTCTTGTTTGTCAGATTCCTCCTCTTCCTCCTCCTCCTCCTTCTCCTCCTCCTCCTCCGCCTCGCTTCGCTTCCGCTTGCTCCTCCATCC